ACCGTCGCCCGCACAGAGCGGCACCACCACGCACACCACCATGACCTCGCGCTCTCCCTCCTTGGGATAGCTCCATCTGCATCTGCTCGCGTAGCCGTTTAGCTAGTAGCCGTCACCGCATCGCGACCCGAGAGAGAGGCGCGAGCCCAGACCCATCAGGTTTAGGCTGATGCAGGGGCCGGGCCTGCCATCCACGGCACTCGCAACCCGCCGTGCCACGCCACCGGGCTCAGACTGCGCAAGATTGTGGCGGTGAGGGCTGGTTCGTCGAGGTTGTTTCGATCTGATACCGCGTATATCACACAAGTCAGCGATCATATGTATTCTGAGAGACCCAGCTGATATGTCCCACGTTCGCATGAGCCTAAATGGGCGTAAATACCACGAACCAACAGCGACAAGACGTCACTGCTGCATAAAAGAGGGCGAAAGCAGGGGAGAAAAAGTCAATCTGGCAGTCCAACCTGCCGGCAGGAGTGGACTTTGGGTCTCCAGGACACCCCTACCCATATCCCCGGGTCAGCCGGGGTCATCATGCCAAAGATCTTGATCGAATGGGTCGTTATGCACCACCCCATAGAATGATTCATGTGGGTTTCAAATCCCACCTGCTTTGCAACACAGGGCCAGCCTTCAGTAGCTCCGTCCTTGCCATAATTCCGAACGCAAGCGCAGCTCGCCGTTGCTTTTCTTCTCATACTGCCAGCGCTTTGATGCGCCAGTTATGTGAGACATGACCAGTGTGCTGGGTATCTATTGGACTGGTGCCATGGGGCAGAAAGGCAGGCAGGCGCAAGACGGTGGCTGCAACGTCCATCCTTGCCCACTTGCATTGCCAGACACGTGTGGTCTGTCTCCATAATGCAAGCACCTGCCCAAACACCACCGTACAGATCCCCAGTGCGCCTGGCTTCTTCTGATGATGGCATATCCCATCTTCATCGGACCTTCCCGGCAGTTCAGTCCATTGTTAGGCGCGAGATCTGGCATAGCCGGCGCATGACCCGCCCAAACCCTAGAAGAAGGAAATCCTACCCCTTTTGTTCCAGTCAAGATGACAGTCAGCACAGCAACACTTTGGACGACTACCATCTCTCTCCGGGTTATCCATCCCTCACAAGCACACGTCGCGCCTCTTAGACACTTACCGCTCCTCTGATACTCATCCTGCGCAAGCCTATTGTGGATATATGCCGAAGAAATCTGTCATATACGATCTAGGTGGATTCAGCCCCAGCCCTTTTTGGGGAGCTGAGTAAAAGATCGCGTTCTTTTCTCCTTCTTGCTTTTTCAAGGTCTAAATTTACCCTTCTGCAGCCAATTTTCATCACCGTTATACCCTCACCACTCCACACCGACACGTACTTCGGCGTATGACGGTCGACAGCCGCTATGACCGGTTTTCCTGCGCCTCAGGTATGGTGGATTACCAATGAAGACGATGAGGCTGCCCGATGTGGACTCTGCCTGACCTGCGTGTCAATATGCCATGTCAGAGCAGGATCTGACGGCGAATACAGCTTGGCAGTATTGAAGTACGAGGTATCAGGTGGCTCTCACGTCTTACCCACGGCCGGGCCATAGCCAGCAGATACTATAGCCCCTTCCCATATCGACGACGCTGAAGACTGCGCCAGACTGTGGTTGATAAATGTGTTGTGCCCACCGTGGACATTGTCCCACCGCCTGTTTCGAGAAGACCGCACACTTTCAAGTCTTTGTTTTATTCACTATTCTGAACCTCTTCTTCCATCATGCTGTCCCTCTTGGCAAAGCTGAACTGGCCCTTCCTGGTGTTGTGGGCAGCCGTTGCTCTTTCGGGGGTCTGTATCGACCGGTACAGGCGAAGCCGCAGATTTGGGAAGCTCAGGGGCTGTCAAACCTCCCACAAGCAGGCCCAGGTCAAAGATCCTTTCATCGGGCTCGACTTCATCCACGAGCGTGTCATCCGCGGACTGTCTGGACGAAGACTTCTCGATTGCATAGAAAAATTCAAGCAGTATGGCTCGACGTACAGCGTGGATCGCCTGACCTACCAGGTCGTCCAGACCTGTGACCCCGAGAACCTCAAACAGGTTCTGGCCACTGGATTCGATGACTTTGCACTCCCATCTTCTCGCGTATCCGTCATGGGGGAGCTCCTGGGGAGTGGCATCTTCACCCTGGACGGAGACTTGTGGTCACATGCCCGTGCGATTCTACGTCCATCCCTGGCGAAGCACAAGATGGATCGCCTCCCTTCTATTCTTGAGCACCATGTACAGCAGTTCTTAACACATATCCCACGACAGGGCGAGGAGGTGGATCTCCAGCCACTTTTCTTTGAACTCACCATGGATATCGCTACTGAGTTCCTCATGGGTTACTCCAGCAATATGTTAGATCCCAGCCGCAAGCGCGAGAAGGAGCAGCAATTCTTTGACGACTACATGCTCTGCTCCGAAGAGGCCATCAAAAAGATGTCCTACGGGCCCCTGAGGTTCTTCCGGCTCAACCTAGCGGCGACCAAGGCAAAGAAACGCGTGTTCAAGTACATGGACGAGTACATCGAGGAGTGCTTCGAGAGGCAAGACGGCACTGCTGAAATGACGGACAAGGAGAACGCCTTCCAAGAGATTGCCAGCGCTATCACCGACCGGCAGAGCCTGCGTGATCAATTGCTCCATTTCCTGTTGGCAAGCCGAGACACCACCGCCAGCCTGCTGAGCAATCTGTTCTTTGTGCTTGCGAAGAATCCTCAGACCTATGCCAGACTACGGTCAGAGGTGCTTTCCAAAGTGGCGTTCGAGACCCCAACCTTCAGCGGCTTGCGAGACATCGAGTATCTACGCTGGTGTGTCAATGAATGTAAGCTGTGTTTCTCTCATCCACGATCTTATCTTTAGGTACGAGGCTCTAATCGCTGTTTAGCCCTTCGATTGCATCCCGTTATCCCCTCGAACGGTCGAGAAGCCACGCGCGACACGACTCTCCCCCGTGGCGGCGGCACTGACGGCAAATCACCCCTTTTCCTTCGCAAGGGCGCCGTGGTCTTGTATAATGTCTTCTCCATGCACCGCGACCCCGCCATCTTCGGCGACAGGGTGGACGAATTTGTTCCCGAGCGATGGAGCGGGCTTCGCCCAGGTTGGGGTTTCCTCCCCTTCAGTGGCGGTCCTCGAGTTTGCGTTGGCCGTGAGTGGAAACCCCCCCATGAACAGCGTGCACGCACACACCATGCTAACCCGGATGAACAGAGCATTTCGCGCTTATTGAGACCTACTACCTGGTCACGCGGATCGTGCAGACGTTTGAGCGGCTGGAGTCGAAGGATCCCCGAGAGTGGGTGGAGCTGCCTGGCCTGGCGATGACCTGTAGAAATGGCAACAAGGTCGGCCTCTACCAAGCTTAAATGATGGTGGGTTTCCGAAGGGAGCTTTGGAGAAACTGCACACTGATATAGAGATGGGCCTGCATAACGGTTCGAATGGCATTTGAGAAAGAAAAACGAGTGAAATGACGACACGGCTATAGAATAGAGAAGCCTGAGATGTGACATATGGCGCATCGGCGCATTTGATTCAAGACTGGGAATTGGGAATCCTATGGTACCTAGACAACATGGATAGATGAGCATTAATATTGAATATTCCGACAATCAGCACGAGTAGCTGTGAATCATCACCACTCGCGAAAGAAATATCGCCCACGGTGGCTTGAGAGCATCGATCTCTTGCTTCTCTACCGAACCAGGCTGGAGATGGAAGTGGTACAGTGCTTACGTGGGTCGCCGCATGCCGTGATATTACAGGCATAATGTGTACGACTATGGCGATTTCTCCTGAATTTACCCCGAGTACAGTCTAGAGTACGCAGGTGTGAGTGTCCTCAAGAGAACGCCTCCGTCAAGCGCCGTGATGCGATGGACAAGCCGGCGTATACCATCACTGGGACATGATGTCTCAGCCCGTGGGAACATCTCCTGGAGCCTCATTTGCGTTGCGTGTCACTGCCATACGCCGCATGACCGCTCTCTTTGACCCCGAATGTGCAGAAATGGCACCTTGGAAGATTCTCAATATGCTTCGTCTGATTCTGCACGGGTGGTAGCCGGTAGAATTGAGCTGCCTTGGATTGAGCATGGCCCATGCCAAATCATTTCGGGCCTCGAGCTGGGGGGTGTACCTCTTTGCATTCGGATGCATCTAATTGCATCGGCAAGTTGCAGCGTCATCGGGGGCCGTCAAGAAGAATGGCCATCCTCATCGGTTGTGCCACTTGGTCAGGTCGTATGGTCGGAGCTCTATCGGCACGCCCACGTTTCGTTTCTTTTGTCGGCTGGTATTCTACGTGCTTCTTTTTGTTTCTTGCGCCAAGGCGGTCGGGTCGGGGCTATGCATCTGGTCATCCGAGCCTCATGTCCTTCCATCTACCGCACGGCTCGAAGCCCTATCGACGGATGGCGTAAATCTACCGCGCACTCTCTTCTGTTAGCCGGGGTCACAGTGTTGTTCGAGCAGCCAAGGGTGCGAAAATACAGGCGACAGAGGGTGCTCAAGTATCAGAGGCCCGTTATGCATACGCTGCCACCATCGAATCTCGGCTGAGGTACTTGCCAAATCCTTCGTTTCGTCTCACTCGGTCGCCGGCTGCAGCCTGACGAGAACCAATTCAATTGGTCCGCAGCGTTCAGTCAAGCCTCCCTCGGTATCATGCAAGCCTCCTTGTGCAACTCGACAAACTGGGGCCTGCGTTCAACATATCAGCTGGTGACGTCAAAACCAAGTATTCCTTGGAATGCATGCCCGAGTTTTCAGGTAACTTCCCCTCTCCGCATCGTGTGAAAAGCAGGTGGACTTGCCCAAAAACACTGCTTCCCCTTCTTTCCCCCAGGTCTTGAGCAAGGCTCTATCCATCTATTATCCCGTCGATTGCTACCACAACTTACGTCAGCCTTCTCGAACGGACGTCCTGACTTTCATCAAAGCCCTCTTGTCATTTTGCTGGGTGACAGCTCGACAATGACGAACCCGACAGACCCCGTGGTGGATGATATAGTTGAAACGAGAGTTGGCAGAATCACATTAACCGTGCGGATTCTTGATATTGAGTTCGGCAACTACACGAGAACTGAAACCGTCGAAGTGCTTCGGGCCCCTGAAGGTCATGATTTCCCCGAGATCATCACTATCAAACGTCTCGGTCGGCACTACGGCCCATTAAACTCTTAGTAAGTCCATCCATGAATTAGGCTGACCGAGCTTGCGGTCTTAACGAGCCATGTTGTTCTGGGACGATTGCATGGGGAGAGCTTGCCATTGAAGTCTTATTATAGCAAGCTAACCGCTTTCTCTAGGCGCTCTATTGTGCGAAGGCGTATACTCGAGACGTAGCGTCCAATGGAAGCTCCCCCCGACACCAACTCCGCTTGAGACTTGACGTGCTCGGCGTCGTATTCATTAATTGTGTGCTTGGTCGGAATAATATGGTCGTGGATCTCTGCCATCAATGGGGAGTTGCAGTTGACAAAGTCTAAGAGATTGGTTAGGCGGCTTCAATGTAATCTCGAATGACTAGTTCACTTGCCTATCTTCTTGTCCACCGTGACATGATTCAATGCAACTTGGGGTTGGGGGTGTCTACCAAAGTCGAGTGTTCCCCCGTCCCTCCATCGTAGTCGGAGATCGAATCACAGCCCGCCGTGTTGACTTGTAATCGATCACAGTGCTCGCTATTCACTGATACTGGCATGTAGTGGGGTGTAACGTGTGCAAAAGTATGTTGGACGAAGCAGTCTTCGACCATAGCAGCTCCTTCACTGTGATGTGGGTCAGGTGAGCTGGAAAGAACAAGTGATGCGAAGGCAGCAGACAGCCGTTAAGTTGTTTCCCAGCACACCTCGAGGTTGAAACAAACCAGAATCGGGGCTGGGAAACTCAACAAAAACACCAACTCTGCCCTCCCTATCGTGATTTTCCCACCCACTCTCTCCACCATCAACGACTTGACAGTGGCCAGCTCAGCTTTCCTTCGCCATCTAGCATCGTATGCCACATTTCAACCAACCTTCAAACATTGTCGCTTCGCTTTGAGCTCCGAGCAGCCATGGAGCCTGCATCGGGTTGGCTTGGCAACCTCGTGTTCGCCCTCGCCATATTCGGTTTTCTCTTCGGTGGCCAGTTTGTCCATACATCCTTTGCACGAAAGGCAGGCCACGCCTACTTTCCGGCATCGTTCTCTTTTGGCTGGTTCGGTTACATCCCCGTCGCGCTCTTCCGACTGCTCTGTTCTCGCACTCTCATGCCGGAACCTGACTTTCCTGTGCGAGTAATGAATCTTGAGAGTGCGACGGCGAGTGACAATAAAAGCTGGCTCATAAGCTATTACCTGCGTTCATGCATGCGCTCTATGAATCGTCAGTTGGGAAGCCGACGGAATCAGTTTCGCATTTTTGTCTTCTCGTCGGAAAAAAGAAACCGGCCAAGCATTTACACCGTCCACATGGACGACATCTTCCGCGCGTCTTTTCTTATCGCTCAGTTTGTGGCTTCCTTCACCCTCGGCTTCATGCAGGACGACTGGGGTGTTCTGACCATCACTTTGTACGGCACCCTGCTTTCGTGGTGGATTGGTCGCCTCTGCCAGTGGAACACTGAGAAAAGCCCTTCTTTTCAAGACTCTGGACACACCTACATGTTGACATCAGCAAAGCATCCCCACGAGGTGATGGTAATCAAGTCCAGCAAGGAGGAGAAGTCGGCTTTGAGCTTTGATCGTCTTGCTCAGTCGTATCGTCCCGCGTCGTCTAACGTACTGTCAACTCACCTTTTCCCCTACATCATATCCTTGTTTCTTCTTCACATGGCACTTACCCTCGAAACCAACCAAACTGTTCTTTGCATCGTCGGTATCCTTGGGATGGTGGACAACTTTGTCTCCAGCTGGTGGACTCGGGACCCAGAGGAATGGGATATGTGCGTGAGCCTAAAGCAAGTCTTCCACGGCTCAAACGTAACGGATGCTCTTATGCTCTACGAGACTTCTCACAGCCACGGCATGGCGCTCAAGCCCGAGCTCTTTCCCCACAAGATGGAGCCCACGGTGGCGGCCTAGTGGAATCGGGAGACGGCGGAATATGATGCTCCCAGAGAGAGAAGCGAGAAAAACGTGGGCGAATCAATGCGGTATCTGGAATGCGTCTTCGTATTCGTGATGGAGTATTAAAGGCGATGTCGAGTTCGACGTTGACGGGACCAAAAAGGAGTTGATCGAAATTGAACACATGGCGTATAACCGTACTTTGCTCTTGGTACGGCGATTGAGACAGGGGAAAACTGCAACTTTGTTAACCAAAGTCTTGTGTGTATCTTGGTATTGAAGCTGGAGGTTGTCTTTGATACGTCTTTGCATTTGGTTGGGGGTAGGTGAAAGGTAAAATGGTGATAGCTTCGCGCTCATATCACGAGCTGGACGGACGTACAACAATTGAAATATTGGTCGAGAAATCAAATACGGCATCAAGGCCGAATTGACTGCTTGAGTAGCCTCGTATGAATTGTTCGTGCATCTTTCCATGCTGTGTGCAGACGTGCCTGTCTGTCCACAATGTGTAGCGAGGGCCACCAGGGCCGCCTGCCTCGACCTGCACGCGCCTTCCCTCACCTCACCTCACCTCCTTCCTCGCACCTTCCCACACTCCACTCCACTTCACTTCGCTTCCTTCCTCTCACCATCCTCCACCAAAACACACACTCTCCACCCATCACTTATCGCCCTGCCCCCCTCACTGCTTCATTTTCCCCAAGACAAATCTCAACGTGACCTCTCTTTTGACCCCCCCAAAAAATGGCACCAAGACCTGGTTCCCCGTCAGAACGCACCCTCCCACCAAAGACTCCTCCATCTTCGCCGGTGGCAGGGCCCTCTTGCCCTCCTCCCAGTCCTTTTGAGGGAGCGCCCCAGGAATCGACACCACTTCTAGATGGAGCCCAGGACCCTTCTATTCCCCCTTCTACTGCCCCTTCTGTTGTCTCGTCTGCCAGCCCTGAAGTTATCATCTTCCAGCCAAGCGTCTTCGTCATCGTCCTCATGCTAGTTGTGCACTACTTGGTTGTGGGAGTCTTAGTCTATATCGCCTACCGTTTCCTTGGTGGCTTCAACCCTACCTCAAAAAATCCTCCTGGAGATTCTGGTCCAGCTGAGGTTCAAGATAAAGCCAGTCAGTACTCAACCTAAGCCCCAAGTAGGCTGGCCATTACACTAATACCTACACACCTGCTAGATTAAAAGCTTCGGTTAAGGCACTTGATCTTTCCCCTTGTGTACTGCGTTCTAATCGAGCTCACCCTGCCGACCGCCGCGGTTACATATCGAAAGGCAGACTGAAAACCCTCAGCACAGAGTCGATTGCACCCTCAAAAGACACGAGAAGAAGGTCTTGTTCGTCATTGGGCACCAATGCCAATTTCCTCCACATCCACTGCTTTGCATTAGGATGTCTTACTAAAGTAAGCTGAGTTACAGAAATTGCTTTTGTAAAAGCAAAATACGCTATAGAGACATGGTTCTAATGATTTCAGTACAGATGTTGCATGCAAATTCCTTCACTAGGCCAACCCCGCGGCCATTTCTTAGCGCTAAGGATCGAGCATCTTGAGCCACTAAGAAATTGAAGCAAAAGACCCAGAAAACGCCTTGAATCTTGTTTCTTTAGCCTCGCCAATGGTTTCTTTCAACGGTCAGGTCCGATTACTGCGATTTTGGGGGAGTTACTTTGAGACTGAAGATGGGCCTCGACTTTGAAGACGCCTTGTCTTTCTTTTCTTTCTTCTCCAACATCTGAAACGCGGGTGCTTTAATCACGTTAGCTAATGTAGTAAATACATGCATGTTTTGTTGAAATCTTAAGGAGCACTTCAATTGCAGAGTGAATTGTTGTTCCAGTACCCACTCGCTCGGGTGTAGTACAAACCGTCCGTTTCGGTAGAGGTGAAGAACCCTTGACCGTTCGGTCATGCCAACCAAATCTTCCCATTCCTCCCCATGGCGTATCTTGGGCAAAGTCAATTTTAACCCACGCGGTCTTCGGGGGGGCATTGGCGGGACGCATTGATCCTGTCGCTGCGGCCACAATTATCGCCGGTTGCTTGAAACAGCCAACGTACGGAGTCCTTGAGAATCAATACGAGGCAGTTCTACCCCTTGCAAGCTCACTGATGCACTGATGCTACCATGGATCTTTGCTACCATGGATCTTTAGCAGGGGTCATAGATGAGAGAATGGGCGCGTAGAAACTCGAAGGCCAACCCAAACAGCATGAACAATCACTCCTTCTGGTCAAACGCAATCATGCCATGGCCTCGCTGCTCTACCTCTAAGCCAACCAATCGCAATTTCAATCAAGCGAGAGACTTCCTCAGGGCCGTCGGTGCTGGTTTCTAGAACAGTCTCATACAAAGTTGAAACGTCGCGAAAGAAAAACCAGGGAGCAGCCCAATTCGGGCGGCGGGAGCTCCCTCCGAGTTTCAAGACGGCGAACTGACGATGATCACAGATAAACCACGTATATATAAGATATGCTTTTCTTTTTTCTAGCTTGAATTGATTCCCTTTCTAAAGGACTCCTCTACGCATCTCTCCAGATCTCTCTACCAATTGGGCCGCAGCTCCACCATCGCCATGAAAGCCTTCGCTATTCTCCCCATGCTCACGGCCCTGGCCTCCGCCAACCCGGTCGACACCAGTCTCGTGGAGCGACAGAGCTGCCCAGGCGTCTACGTGTTTGGCGCTCGAGAAACCACCGCCTCGGCAGGCTACGGCACCTCCCTGGGCCTGGTCAACATGGTCCTGCAGGCCTACTCGGGCTCCCAGTCGGCGGCCATCAGCTACCCAGCATGCGGTGGGCAGTCCAGCTGCGGCGGCGTCAGTTACGACAGCTCTGTGCAACAAGGCACATCGGCCATGGTGTCGGCCGTCACCGCGCTAAACAGCAGATGCCCAAACACCAAGATCGTGCTCATTGGGTACTCGCAGGGTGGGCAGATCATCGACAATGCGCTGTGCGGCGGCCAGGGCGGCGCCACGCTGTCCGGGAGCGCCTTGAATGCCGTAAAGGCCGCCATCTTCATGGGGGACCCTCACTACAATGTTGGGCTCTCGTACAATGTCGGCACGTGCCAGGCTGGCGGTGTAAGTTGGCTCCTCTGTGCCTGTGCGCGGGATCATCTAACTTTGGGCAGTTCGCGGCGCGACCGTCAGGCTTCACTTGCTCTCCGTACAGCCCGTCGCTTATCCAGAGCTACTGCGACTCGACGGACCCTTACTGCTGCAAGGGAAGCGATGCAAACTCACACCAGCAATACGTTACCAAGTACGGCTCACAGGCGTTGGCCTTCATCAAGAGCAAGCTGGGGTAGGTGCCAATTGGGCTGCATCAGCAGTAGACGAGGGCTTCAATTGCCGCAAGGCTTAGGCACGTTTAAAAAAAAGCTTTCTGTTGATTTTTAGAAAATAAATACATACAAATGGCATCTATTGTACCAGAACTGCCGTCTACGTGCTCTTGTGTACCTGGTGTGAGCTTCTAAAGACAGGCGGTAGGCCAGACGAGTCTGCTCGGCTGCCCATCCACCAGCCCAATATTGTGAATAAAATACCTGCAGAGAAACATCGCCGTAGGACGAGTGGCCAAAGCGGCACGTTTCATGCATTGAAATCTGCGATGTGCAGCATGCCCGGCAATCCAAACCAATCCATCTACACGTCGTGGAGCTCTGCAATTACACTCGGCGCAATTTGATCCTTCCAAATCAGCCTGGCGACATCGACCACCGTCCAAATAGCCTACCGGGATGTGTTTTTTTTTTTCAATCAATAAATGGGCTTCGAGAACCATCGATGTGTCTCAAAAGTGTCGTCCAGGTCATCGCCTGCAGCTGGTGTTGATCAACTTGTAGCCCATTGAGCTTGGTGGGCTGTATGCTGCACTCCGCAACAAACCTGCCGCCCCTTCTACATACACAACGATCTCTACCCACAACACGGCATGCGAAAATTAGGTTCTCCTCCCACTGCCATGGCATTTAAACAAGACGCAGATCATTGCGACAAAATATTCGGCCTCGCAGATTCGAACCGCCCGACGAATTAGTCGCGTGTCTGGCGAGAATGGCTCCTCGAGGCTGGATCCCTCAGTTTGCATCTCAGCCCACGTCGAAGCTTAATTGACGAAGCTAACTCTCTAATAATACCTACAGATGCCATGGCCTATTCTCCCAATTGACCTCCGACCTTGAACGCGACCGTACTGCACGCCGATCCGGCTCGCGTTGGCGAGAACATCCAGAGGCGTCCGTTAGCCCTACCCGTCCCCTCTGTTCGACGAGGAGTCCTCGAGCCAGATTCCAAAGTCTATCTACGACACAAGGCGAGCGATGGTAACATACAACTGTTTTGTCTATAAAAAGCAATCCCCGACGCTGGGCGCTCGACCAAGCCGAGATTGGGATAACAACAGCCGCCGTCTGCGGCCTCCCTGCGCCGATTGCAAGCACAATACCCGAGAATATACACCTCGATCATTACCAACAGCCATACCAAGAGTCGCTATGCTTTAAAGGTATTTCGAGGCTATGGCGATGGCAAAATTCCGGGCCTACTTGGAAGGTTTACAGGCATGGTCACCTTGCTTCTCAGCAGGCTTGACCGGGATGAGGTCATCAATTCTCCTTTACATAACCCCGAGGAGGAATCTCGGTGATGCAAAAATGCTTCACGCACTGGCAGGGCAGTTCAAGTAGATTTAAAGATCCTACATTCCCTGTCTAGACCATGATGGCTTTCCTACCCCCGAGCCAGCAGCTCTGGGTCATATCTGGCACGCATCGTTAGTGTAGTCGAAGATATTCTCCCTCGAGCCTAACTTCAAGCTGTATTGGAGCCCAATACTCCGAGTGACAGACGGAGATCTCTACACATGAGCCCGAGAGGTGGTGTCCATTCATCGCCCTCGCTTGTCACTCTCGTCCAATTGATGCCAAGCCTGCTCGCCCTGCTTTATATTAGGAAAGAAGGCGGCGAAGATGCCCTTTTCCACTCGGTAGCGGCACTGTGCGGAGATCCTCTCGGGGAGGAAACAGACAGCAATACTCTGGTCGAGTGTCGAGTTCTGGATCTCGTCGAGGAGCGAGCGGCTCGATCGTAGTTGGCCGGCACATCTCAGCAGCACCGGGAGCCACAGCTCTTGCTGCTCGGGGGTCAGAATGGGCGCTAGTCGAGACTCAAGTTCGTTTCTCGCGGGCACTTGGAATGCTTGCGAGATAAGTATGTTAGTAACGGGCGTAGAGCAACACCGGGTAGGGCAGCGCATTGCAGTGGGCAGAGCATACTCCCGGGCATCTTGAACGGATGTACGAGCGATCTCGGTAGAGGTAGGCGCTGTATATTGGATGTTCCTCCGACTTTGTCGAATTTGTCGGGGCGAGTTATGGGAATCTTGGCGGGAAATCCTAGATGCTAGGTGACTGGTGGCCATTGCCACTGGCTTCGCTCCGCAGAGATTCCAGGTGTATAGCAGAGAGAATTGAGGAATATTTGCCAAACAAGATTCACATATTGACTCACCAGAATGCTCTGTTCATTAGGCTCGCGTGAAGGAGGCAAACTCTCACGATGCAGCGAATACGGATGGTGTTTGCACGGAAGAACGGCCATTGAGGACCCCGCGTGGGGGTACAAGCAGCAGAATCCGTCACGAGCAACGTTTGTCTAGCCCATGGCAGCCAATTGATCTGGCCATGGCGAGGGAGGGGGAGCAGACGCCAATAAATACCTGACCGAGTATGTCGCAGTTTGGCGCAGTGCGTCATGGGTTGAGGCCACTCTAGATGGGATTTGTACTGTGACGTCGCAACTGGAAAGGTGTAGGTAGTGTAACCAAGGCATTTGTATCTGTCTCTCACCATGTAGGAGCCGGACGACACGAGGGTAACATTCGCAGCCGTGGATCACAAAGGCAGTGAGTGATTGGGCCAGGCAAGCTTGCACAAGCTCCTGGCTGGTTTCCTTGGCTTCCCCAAATGCAAAACACCTCTGTAGGCAGGTGTTCTTGCACTCATTGGCCACACCTGCCACCAGCAGTAGCGGACTCATTGAAGGCCGATGTGCTGCTGGCCAACTGCCAGCCCACACCTGATACAGTGAGCGCTGGCCGCCTAACGGTCGATGGCACGCTATGAGCAGAGGCTAAAGTCGCTAGAGGTTACCTGCCTGGTAGGTACATGTAGCCACTGCCGACTGGAGAGTGATGTGCTGGCAGGTCTAGTGCTCAGACGCTCCAGCTCAGACCCTCGTATCTGCCTGGCCTAAGCCCTAAGAAGGCGCCCTAAGAAAGGGAGCGAGCGCTGTGGGGGCGGGAATCTCGGTAAGGCTGGCGCTGTGATCGCTCCTGCCCGCGCAACAACCGCCAACTCGTCCAAGAAAACGAAGAGGGAGATGTGGTTTTTTTTAAACGTCTCCTGAACATACTTGGGATATGGATCAACGTGTCCCAGCACTCCTACCCTCCCACCCATCCAAGGGCCGACCCCGAACACGCTCCCAGATAAGGAAAATAATCTGATCGCAAGCGGGGTACAACAAGGCGGTCCGACCGCGCCACAATGCATAAAAGATGGGGAGCGAGCATAATCAAGGAAGAACGTTACACCAAGTACTCGCCTGCCCCAGTCCCCCCTCCAGTCCCCCGTCAGATTTGGGACCATATCGCTCCCGAGGACGATCGCTAAGTTAGTGACATTTCTTAGCTTGGTGCCGGCAATAGATCGTCTAGAATAGGCAAGCTCAGGACCGTGCTGCTATCTGCTATTTTGCTTGCCCGCTGGTCAGTGTTTGTATCACATGCCGTGAAGGTGCAAAAATCAGAGACAATTGACTGATACACAACGAACATTCGGTGTGACGAATTACGGCTGGCTTACTGGCCAGCCCTGACTTGCCTACACGGCACAGGAGAGGAGATGGCATCATACATACCCATTCACAGGACTCAGATACTGCCACAGCTGCCCCCGTGCATCTGACCGGTCGGTTTTGCCAGCCAAGCATACGTCTCACTCGATTTTCCATTGGCCTGAAAGTCAGCAGCGCTTTGATAAGGTCTCCCTCAACGCGCGACTCACTTATCGAGAGCCTCCCACGGCGTTCACCACGTGATTGCAGACCCTCGTCCAAAAAGCAATGCCCAAGCCTGCTCTCAGATAAAAACGAAGTTTCGCCCTGCATATCTCTGCTTGGGCCATCTACTCTCTCGTCCTACCCAGCCAATGACCAGGCTGGTAGGACTCTTCACCTACCTACCCACCCACTCGAGAGGTCTCCTCGCTTAGCTAGCACACCACCACCCATAACAGAACAGCGATGCTCCTCCTCCGGGCCAGCCCCGAGGTCAAACGACTCGCCTTGTTTGTCTCGTACCATGTCAGAAATACTGTCCTCCTTCGGGCAGGTCTCAGGAGGCTCCCGCCGATGCTACTGTGCGCGGCCACTTTCTGGTTGCTTGACCATCTCTACACAGCCAAGGTGGGTGACGATGACATCCAACAACAGCAAGCCCCCACACCATATCATATCAGTCCCTCCATGCCTTCATCACCCACCGCTCCTTTCCCCACCCTCTTCTTTCGCGACTAACACCAACATCAACAATCAAGGAGCACGCGATCACCGACTGGGCGCGAGAGAACGGACTGATCATCGAACGTCACTGCAGTTCCTTCTGCGAGATCTTCCAGCTCGAGACCGGAAACACTGCCCCCGTGCAGGAGAAGAAGATCAGGATCATGATCCTAGTCCCTACACCCGACATCGCCGAGGACGCCGCCGACAACATCGTCGTGCCCCCGGAGCTCATGGCGGCACCCGGCCAGCCCCCACGCGAGCGCAATATCGAGGAGCATCCTTGGTGGAGTACTGCCGGCCTGTACAGACCCCCTCCACCCCCCCGGCCCGACACCCTTTACAAGTTCGCCATCCGGTCTCCCATCGGAGGTGGCCTCAAGGTCGATTCCATCGTCCAATGCTCAGTTGGCGACGCAATCGTCCTCGGCGAGGGCCAGGAGATCAAGGCGCTGGAGGGCGACCGCAGCTACAAGCCGGTGTCGTTCATGCTCGCTGAGCACCGTGCCATGCATGCTCCCTATACCCCCAATTTTGTTTACTGGCTCTAGGGGCACATGTTGGCTCCAACGGTTGGTGGTCCATGTAAGCCAGCAACAGCGGCTGTGCTTAATGGCTTGGTATACGGCGCAAGGATATTGACTAGCTCTGGGATTTGCACGGCGCAAGGATGGGATAGCGATTGGGGAAACAACTGCGGGAACGGTATGGTAGAGGGACAGGCGAACGATTGGATAACACTTTGGACAAATTGTTTGGCGAATGGACAGGATATGACTTGGGAATCAGCGGGCAAATTGTACGGCGAATAATTGATGATGGATTTAGCAAACAGATTGATCAATCGACTTTTCCTTCTTGTCAGAACAAACTTTCGCCCCTTTCCATGTCCCGTGTAAGCCCACAACCTCGTGCCGGAACCCCACCACAGAGTCGTCTCGTAGCGCCAAAGTCTAAGGCATGCTTGCCGGCTCACGATGTTGACAGCTGGAAGTTTTTGCCTTGAAGTTTATTTGACGTGATAGCCATGGGCAGCTCGTGAGACTTTGGGCAGATGGCGGCAGGGCGCAGACGTGGTCTACGGTAGCGTGCAGGGGAAGGCACAGTGAATGGATGGCAGCCACACACCGCTTAAATTTAGAAATCAGTGCTGCCCCCAGCGCTATCTGATCGCAAAAACATCCTGACTGCCAAGCTCGATGCTTCATCTGCAAATGTGATCCTTGTGACCTGCAGACCTGCAGCACTCTCACATGACCAGCAGGTCGATCGTATTACCGCCGAGGAGTAGCAGGCCAGAGCATCTCCATTCCTCCCAAATACGGATACTCCGCAAACGCAATCCCAGCACCATCACCGAGTGCGCTGGCGGGCGTTCCGAGGTCGAGCTCGCCGATTTATCCTCCGATGGCTGCAGCTCAAGCAGGGGAATTATTAATGAAGCTGAAACCCCCACCAACCCCCTCCCTCCCGATGTTTTCGTCGCACGAACGCGCAGTTGTCTCCGGATGACCCAAGACTACTCAATTAAGGCTCGCAAACATGTCGACATGCGCTACCACCGTCGTGGCTCCGGCCATTGAACTCTCCGAGATCAGGAATAAACCGGCCGTCTCGTCGGCCCCTCTCCACCGGCTTTCCCACGATGCCGCCGCCGGCTCCCAGCAGTCGTCCGATCCCACAACGGCGAGAGAGATCCCATCGCCAGTCGTGCCCACCGACCGTATCTTCGACGCCGAGCCGTCCCCGATCTCCCAGACGTCGAGGTTTCTCATCATCTCGCTCGTCGTCATACTCAATATTGTCCAGGTTAGGGGGACGTGCTCCGGGAGGGTTGATTGAAAGTCGCTGACTCTTCTGTGCCTCTAGTTCATGTCCGCCATCACCACCGTCGTTGGTGGATTGGCTTTCAGCGCTGCTCTTGGGCACGAGGTAAAGCCCGGCCGGGCAAACTGGATGGGAGCTTCCTACTCGTACGTCTCCTTGATTAGTTGATTTTCCTTCCATTCTAGAGGTACAACTGGAGCAAATTGCTGACTCGGTCTCGCTGAAGTCTAACGCAGGGCGCATTCGTCTTCATCAGCGGCCGTCTGGGCGAAATCTATGGCCATCAACGACTTGTCCTCGTCGGCTCCGCCATCTTCACCCTGTTCTCTTTAGTCAATGGCTTCGCGAAAACCTACGAATCCTTTGTCGCCATCCGCGCACTCACCGGCATTGGAGGTGGTATCTTCATGCCGAACGCCGTCGCCATTGTCACGACCATGGTCCCGCCCGGCCGCACACGCAACATTGCACTCGGCTTCTTCGCCGCCGCTCCGCCCATTGGAGGTGTCTTGGGAGGTGTTCTGGTCGGCGTCTTCATCGATCTCGCCCCATGGGTCTGGCTCTTCGTATCAACGTAAGTGTCGGGTCGGCCAAGATTGCTTTGCGCTTCTTCTTCTAACCGCCCATTTGTTTAGTGCAATCATTTCTGCCATACTCACGGCATGGCTTGCCTACCTGGTCCCCCCCGAACATCCTGTCGACCGATCCGGAAAGATTGATTACATTGGTGCTGCGCTTGGAGTGAGCAGTCTCGTTCTGTTCAATGTCGTTTGGAAGTAGGTGCCCCCCTCAACTCAACTCTACTCTGCTGGGCCGTATCCTCACCACTGGACAACAGCCAGGCACCTGCTGTCGGATGGTACACGCCTTACGAGATTGCGCTGCTCATCGTCTCCGTCCTTCTCTTCGCCGGTTTCCTCGTCTGGGAAGATCGATTCGCCAAGGAGCCTGTCATGCCCCTGAGGCTCTTCAGTGCAAGCACCTTCACGGCGCTCGTCTTTGTCGTCTTGCTGAGCTACATGAGCGTCGGAGTCTTCGTATGGTACTCGGTCTCCTGGCAGCAAATGCTTCGCCACAGCTCCGTGCTCGATTGCGGCATCCATTTCATCCCGTTTGGCTTCGGCGCCGTGGCTGCCGTCGGCATCGCGGCCTGGCTTATTCCTCGTCTCGCAGCCCAGTGGATCATGGCCATTGGCATCGTCACAATCCTCGCCGCGAATCTCCTCATAGCCACGATGCCCGTGCAACAGACCTACTGGGCGCAGCTCTTCCCTGCCATCCTGCTGTCGAGCTTTTGCCCCGACTTCGTATACGTCGCGGCCCAGCTTATTGCCAGCAACAGCGTCGGTCGCCGACACCAGGGAGTCGCGGGCAGCTTGATCGGGACCTTGAACCTCTACGGCAACAGTTTGGGGCTCGGCTTCGCTGGCACGATCGAGACCGAACTTACAGATGGAGAGTCGCCGAGTCAAATTGTCTTTGGCTTCCGTGCTGCCGCATACTTTGGTGTCGCGCTCGCGGTTGCTTCCTTGATTTTGGACCTGGGATTCGTTAGATTGCCCAAGGATGAACGTGAGGGGTGGGAGGAAGATGAACCTCTCAGAGATGACCAACCAACAATCGTTGTCCACGCTTCCGCAACTGCTGTAGAGAGGCAGATCTGACCTGAAAGCCCTCGCATTTCGGCCTCGGGTTGAACTTGTAAGTAGATCGGTCTGGTATTTGACAAGAGACCGCTGTCCTTGGTTGGCTTCACGCTCTGCAATCCCTGGGCCAACAGTAAGTGATCAGTCAACATTACCCGGGTTGTCGACCTTGAGGTTGCAATTCTTGGCAAGGACTAGCCTGAATCAACCCTTTCCAATTCCTGTTTTTAGCATCCATAGACCGCATTCATCGCCACCGGGGCCAAGTTCCAAAAGGATTGCCACGGTAGGCTTGAATAATGACAATTTCTAGAGTTACCAGGATCTGTTTCGTTTCTGGCAGTTCCATAGTCAGCGTGGAGAACCCTTTCATTGCCTGGAAGCTGTCACAACCAGTTCAACTCTTCTAGTTGGGATTAGCTGTGAGCCTGCTCTTGGAGACTCAGCCCGATCTGCCTATCAACAAGCCAACTCAGCCAGCCAACATAGTGTATTCGTCGAACCGTCTTCTCTTATTCATGACTTACTGCTGATGTAATTGCTCCGATGTAACCCGTCCACGGCACCAGGGAACTGCTACTAATATTATCTGTTAGGGCAATTGATTACAGTATTCCCGAGAAGAGACGAACGCCTCACCGAGGCATTGGAAAGGGGATATTCAACAGCTCTTGTATGACCTCATACCAGATACGCAACCAACGAACCCAAGTGCGTTGCATTGTATAACGATTGGAGGTAAAGTTTCGAGAAAGTCAGGTTGTATTGGCTCTCGAGGCCATGCCGCAGTCCCTCCAAATCCTCGCCGACATCGTTCTCTAAACCTTCGTCAAAGAGGATTGTGGTCACAATTGGAACTCCGGTAGACCGGCCATCTCGACAAGCCTCGACAGGATTGTTCGGAATGGTGTTTCGATCACCAACTGGACCCAATAGTAAGTTCTGCAGGTATTTTTCTTTAGAAATACTCTTCCTTCGACGATGTCTCTCCCAACATACCGAAGTACTGGAGTGGGAAACTCCCTTGGGCACTTCGAAGGGTCGCATTGAGCCGGTCGTGTTATTATTCCTCGTCGTCGTACGTTGCTGTCTACCGGGCGTTCTCTCCCAGTTGAAGTCGTCAGATATTTGCAAGTTCCAGGATTGGAATTCCCGCGAGGATCATCCAAGTACTTACCGGAGATAGCGCTTTCGAAAGGCAAGTCTTGGACTCTCCGTACATCGTCATCCGCGTGGCCACAGACCCTCCACCTGTGCTATCTCTCCAAATGATGGTGCGATGAAGGTAGTTTTCAGACAGGTCAATCCATATTGAACCCACTGAATACCCACCATTTGGTCAAGAAGGCCGATAATTGCTGTCCCGTCGTTCTATTATCTTCATCAGCCAGGAAGCCAAATGGCCACGGCAGCCTCAGACGCATACCCTTCCCTCACATCCATGAGCTATATCCAAAGAGGCCGGGGGGGTTGCTTTTCGTCCTTTGTTCAAGCGTCTGTATGCTTGTCAGCCTTTAATCCTCGGTCCGTGTTCGAAACGTCGGTATCGCTCCAGATGGTCTACTTTGGAAGCAGGACGTATCGTACACCCAACCATGGGGAGGTCAGCCTGTGGCTTCTCGGGATTGGCCCGGACCACCACTAACCTACCAGCAAAAAGATGCTGCGTGTATAGGTTGAGAATTTTCGTTTCTTTTGTTGCGGTCGCCCATCATCTGGCGGTTGGTGTGATGGGAAGGTATGTACTCGTAGACACTCGAAAGCAGGTGGGTTTTGCATCGACATTGACGGCCTGAGGCTCCTGCCGCTGCCTCACCTACTTACACAGGTACCTAGGTATGCTTCAGCGAGGTGCTCAACATGCAACACAGCACCATTTTTTTCTCCTTGCTTACAATTTATGTGCCTACCTAACTACCTACCCAAGGTAAACATCCCTGGATGACATCGCTGCATAGCCAACGGCATAGCCCACAGTCATTGATGTGATCCCGACCGGACCAATGCAGATTCACCTCCCGGCAAACCCCTTTTTGGCCATTGACAAGAAAATGTGCATGATCTTGGTTCCCAATGCTGCCCGATATCTAATGTCATCGATTGTAGGAAATCTTCGGATCGTGTTAGTGGAGAGTAGGGCGACCTTGAATTCTGCGGACAACTCTACGTGCAGGTTCATCCCAATATACCATCACATCCCAATGCCTGGTGCAGTTGCCCCCTAATCTAAATAGTCAATTTTAAGAACCCTTCCAGCTACCATACATCCAAAGGTCGTAAGTAACGTGCCCTAGAATCTTCTTTATGCCACCTCCACTTGTTGTTTGGGTTGCTTCCAACTTCCAGATCTTGTTCCAGTGGCTATTCATCATGGACTTATTAGCCTTTTTGCTAAAATACCCATCGATGCTTTAAGTCTCTCCGAGAGTTGCATCATCAGCAATAATCCTGCCGTGCCTTCTACTCTTTATGGATCTGATGGTAGGTGCTTGTCTCTCTCTGCTCGTTTGGCCGCCCAACCCTAGAACGTCATTCATCTCTTTCCGTGGTGCATAATGCAGCCATATCATACTGTAACAAAGTAACCATCAAGACACAATACATAGAACCCTGCGAGCTGTAACAAGCTACCCTTCATGGAGCTGCGCACAAGCGCGCGCGTAGATTCATACCTTTTGATTCTATAGGAGGCATATATCATCGGAATGATCATGGAAGAATATCAAACATGGGCAGATGAAGTTTAATAGCATATTAAGGTTAAATCCAGCATCGCGTACAGCTCAGTGGGAAGGCGTTATTGGAATTCGATGTCACATGAAAGAGGAGTGTCTAGAGAATACATTGGTGCATGGGATGAAACCAAGTACCAGGTGAAACTCAACACTCCCTCTGGAATGAGCAATGAAAGATAGAAGGGGGTATTCAAACTTGTTTCCGTATAACTTAGGCCCTCAAGACCGGACGGGCCATTCCCTCTGGTCGTCCCATGAGGCATGGAACATTGCCATCGGGGGAGAACATTTTCTTTCTCACTTCTTGTTTCCTCAGGTCTGATAAAAGTATCATGTACTTCTCAGCCAAAGATCACAGTGGCTGCCTAAGGTAAACAAACTACATATAGTCAATCACGTCACGCCACACCGCACAACACAGAGGAGGACTGTTCCGGGCCTGCCCAAGCCTCCAATCAATCAGGGGTCTCCTCGCGGCGACGAAGCCGCTCACGACAGACCAGATTTATTAGCTACACCTGCTGGGTCTGTCTATCTATTCCAAAGGCAAACCTTGCTGACGGGACATTTGGGTGTTAATTATTAGATATTAGACATAGACATGTGAAATTGGAGTAGGGATCTAGTTGGTGCAAGATAACACATGGTTGAATTAGTGCGAGTGGTGTTTTACCACATTTACATTCTACCTAGCTAATACAAATCGTAAAAACTTGGTTGGAATACCAAAATTAGGGACACGCCGCTCTCCTTGGTGCGCTCGGGCAGACTAGACAGGCCAGACAGACTAGAGATATTCGACCAGTCGGAGAATCCAGGCCTCGAGAACATAGAGGTTGTCCTCGAGAACATAGAGGATCTTGCTCTGCATAGCGAAGGCAGCCTCGAGGTCAATATCATTGCCAACGTAGAACTGCTTGCGTTTGTCCTGCCTGACTCGCTCAGCGTCAGCCTCGTCAAAAGGGAGCATCATGCGGCGCAGAGTGATGATGTCCGCAATAAGCGCGTCGATGATGGCAGACTGGGCCTGGATGAACTCAAAATGTTTCTGCGCGAGGATCTGCAGCTCCTGGAGATATTCAGGTATGTCCAAATCGTCAGAGCTCATAGGGACGCTGCGCCAGTCCCAGGGGAGCTCCCAACCATCGTCGAAACAGATGCCATTGAAGAAGAAATCGCTATGCATGTCAAAGACAATTGAGAAGTTGTCGTAAGAGTCTTGGTAGTTGCTCCCGTTGGGGCCCATGGTGATGGCGTTGAGGGATGCAGTAGTGTCCGATTCGATACGACACATGTCCTCGGCTGAGAGCCAGCTGTTTGTATCCATATCGAAAACAGTGACCTTAGAATGGATCCCAGTGTCGGGTGAGGCCATCTTGCTTGCTTGTTTTCTTTGGAATTGGGAGGAAACTGCAATCTTGTTAGTGAGGTGAGCATTCACGGTGTCACTGAATGTTGAACTCACTTTGCTTGAAGACAGGTGCACCCGACTAGGAGAAAGTCTTGGGATTCTTCTCGGAAGAAGGACAAAAAGTTGGAGGAGACACGAAACGCGATCAACAAGAGGAGGGGTAGAGGTTTCTTGTTTTCTTTGCAGATGGGAGGAACTCCAATCTTGTTAGTGAGGTGAGCATTCATGTTGTCAGTGCATGTTGAACTTACTCTTTGCCTGAAGACAAGTGCACTTGGCCAGAAGATAGTCTTGGGCTTCTTCTCGAAAGAAGGAGAAGAAGTTGGAGGAGAGAAGAAGAACAAGAGGAGGGGTAGAGGTGAGGGGAGGAGGGCGCCTGGAGGACGTACAGCGCGCTCGTCCTCTGTAGCTCTTGCCAGTTGCCAACACACGTCGCTTGCACAACTCTCCCAGTCTCCAGTAAAGGCAGGAGGCACCAACATGCAAAGCCCACTTCAGTTAGATTCTATTCGGTACATCTTCTCTACAGGTCCCTATGTTAAGGAAGGCATAAGGCTCTACAGGCAGTGAGTAATAGTTGTTCTTTCCTCGCCTCAACATCGCCTCTTTCATCCGTACCGGATTCTTTTCTTTCGGACAGAGCTGATATCGGAGGCTCTTCAGAAACTTCATTTGCTCTTTCCAAAACACTTTCAAAAACACTTTCATTTCACCACAAGTCTGGAGAATCTGTACCTGTCGACCAGTGACCTCACGGCTCTGGAGGACCGGACTATCGACCCAAGTAAGCCCCGCCACTCGACCCATCAAGTTTGCGACGAAAGTGACAATTCCAATACGTTTTCTTTCGGAAACGCAATTCTCTATACCATTTACTGGCTTTCCCTCTATCGGAACAGAACTGCATGCAGCTGGCTAATTAATCCGACGCGGGCCAAGGTGTTATCAAGGTTGAAACTGCAGCACACAACAAGTCACTTGCCTCCAAGAAAGAGAAAGACACTACAGATAGTATATTCTTACGATATAGGTAGTACGTAATTGTGAAATCCATCTATCCTAAATGATCGGGGTTTTCGTTTCCGTTACTCCATACTTCAAGCCAGATCTATCGTGTTGAGGCGGAGGTTGGAGTGCCTGACCTACCCTACACCCAGATTCCCCAGCCAGTGGGCGGGCATGATGGCCACAGGCAAGAAAATGGTAGGCTTTTTCAACAAGCCCGCGGCAAAGTAATGACGCTTTACAAACGATACTAGGCAATTTCAATCGTGATAACGTTTCCCCAGGCACTGAGACCAAAAATCCCTTTGCCGGTGAGCGAATGCATCAATCTCAAGGTAATTGTGCCGACATGCAGCACGCACAAAGCCACTGTTGGCAGAAATATCATCCACACGCTGGAGCCACTGAGCAGAGACCTGTGTGACTCTGAGCAAGTCCCACTTGCTGCTCTCCGTATCCATCGCTTTGCGGAAGCAAGTCTGAACCACCTGGTCCGTTGTGAGACTCCTCCAAGCTGGCAGACAAGTGGGTGCAAAGGGTAGCCAGGCCGACCCAGAAACACCATGATTCTTCTACGGTGCCCAACGGCGGTGTTTCAGCTGGACAAGGACAATGGCAAGGCGAGTCTCTAGCTTCTGCGCCTAGGACGTGAAGACAGACATCTCGGCGGCCTGGCCGAGTTGAGATGAGCGCTGAGATTACACTGGTTGCCGAATTGGGATGGATGCATGCTAAGAGACCTGAGAGTCCACTAAGATACAGCGACTCAAACTGAGACAGGCAGGCCTACACAGCACGGGTGAGACCCGAAGCACCTGCCTGGAGCAAGCGATCAGGCCAGCAGCGAGCACATGCACTGCTAATGTACGGTGTGTGTGCTGAGGACCTCGAGCAACAACTTGAGCTGTGCTTACTGCACGCACTTACCTAACGGACCGAAGGCCGGACGGTAACGCTGCCCTCGAGCTGGACGCGGTGCTACGGAGGCCAACACCGTTCTTCTCCCCAACCATTCCCGGCGACAGCGACATCATCTCAACACGAAGGGCACCAACCCGGCCCACCCCGATCAGAACAATCACAGCCCTCCGGCCCAAAGTCAAACCGATGAGCCTAAACAATGGGTATTGATTGACCCGCGGGCCCCAGACAAACAACATACCCACCGCCCATGTACCGACCGTGTGTGCAACCCGACTGGGGTCGAGGCCTGCCTCCAACTTAGACCGCCCTCGAGCAGCACCCATTCATGCCATGCCACTCTCGATGAACCCTGTCCCCTACGCTGGCCTCGCCCGCATATCAGACCTGAGAACAGACAGAGCCCATGCCTGCCTGCCATTGCAGAGAGGTACAGCGGCAAAGCGAAACGATAGCCACGACTAGCTGCGGACTGTGCTTTGAGACACTGACGTGTAAAACCTCAATGGCGGCTAGAGGGGAGGGGGGCCAGCGTGAAGGGGGGCGAGAAAAGAAGGGCCCACGCGGAAAAGGGAGAAGTGACGGACACTCTCAATTCATGTTGCCAGCAAAGGATAAATACCAGGAGGAGGGCCGTGGACATGACTACGAGGAGATCCTGATGGCCCTGTGAATCACCACCGAGCGGTTGAGCCTCTTGATCCCCTTTGCAATTTGCCAGAATTGAATTGAAACAAACCCTGCCCTCTTGCCCCCTACTCCTCCACCATACACCCACGCCGGGAACCAAAATTACAACCCACTGCCCACCATGATGTTCGTGCCCGGCAATGCCCCTGGCGACGCCTTTGACGACATCGTCCGCGAGCTCCTGGAGAGATACTACGACACGAGCCACTACAAGGTCAAGCCCAAGGCCAAAGAGGTCGTGGACCTGGCCCGCAGCGCCGCCTCCGAGATCGAGGGCCTCCGCAGGCGCGCTGACAGCCAGGGCGTCGACTACGAGCCGAGCCGGGTCGTCACCCTGTGGGTCGACAAGTCCGAAGAGGTCATCCGCGACGACTCCCTGACGGACGACGAGAAGCACACCCGCCTCTTCTACATGCTGCCCTTCATCACCAAGGAGGTTGAGAACACCAGCGCCATCCTCACATCGCTGCGCAACGACGTCGACGCCCCGGCGGGCGTCAGCATCATTGAGCTGGAGCTTCTGGTCTTTGAGCTGATAGAGCTGCTCGATGACTGCACTGCGGTTGCCCTCAGGGGCTTACGACCCTGATTTGATGGGTGCGTGCCGTACCCATGCTGGTCGCTTCTACTTTTCTGCGGCCGCTGTTGTGGGATTTCCAGTCAAAGCCGGATCGGGCTGGCTTTGACCTGACTTGATCTTCCCTTCTTTTCATTGGGTTCGGCCTGATATGTGTTTTTTTTACCTCTTTCTTTTGGGATTGGATTGAATTGGACTGGACTGGATTGGATTGGCTTGGCTTGGGATGACCTTGGATATTGTGATTGGCTTGGGATTCAAATTGGGCACACGTAGATAGGTTATTAAATCATGTCACATTGGGTTGTGCCCTGTTCTTCTTCAGACATGCCGGTCGGTCCCAACGCGGTGAATACTTGCCTGCCCTCCCATGGATGATGCTTGCCTGCCTGCCCACTACTACCCCGCGTCCAGGGCCTCCGCGGGTCGGATTTCGGCAGCCTGTAACGGGCTGAGAATCATTCATTCGCATTGAGGTTGCTACACACCATCTGGGCCCCCTCCCTTGCCTCTTGCCGCCGGCTGCTCGCTGTAGCAATCTCGATCAAGAGAGCGCTCGGTGGATCGAGCCTTCGGTGGCCAATCACTGCCGTAACCCTAGTCCCAGATTGATATTCGCCAGGGGGGGGCCAAATGTCTTCGGAGGGTGCAAGAGGGGTCCGAGCAATCAATGGTTGAGGTGGGCGTGGTGGGCTCAACGCTCAACGCTCAACACGATATGCAGGTGCGTGAAGCTAGTAGACACCTACCTAGTAAGTAAGCCACCAGAAAGATAAGAGGGAGGGAAGGGGAGAGGTGTTTTACCAGTGGGAGAGAAAACAACGGTAAAAGTTGACCCAGCCATTCGATGTCTCAGAAATGTGCTCTAGGAGAGGCGGTCACCTCTCGTCTCGCACCGTCGCCTCCACGTAGGAGAGACCGCCAATCTCGGCCTGAAGCCGAGGAGCTGAAAACCTGCCAGGAGACGTCAGCTACATCATTAATAGAGCTAGTAACGTCTCAGCCCGATCCTCCTCTTCCGACACAGATGTGCACGTCCGAGAAAGGAAAGACGGGACTGCGCTAAGAAAGGGGAGAAAAAAACGTTCTCAAACTCTTCTCCCCACGAAAGCCCCCCTTCTTCCAATAGTTTGTGGCCCTAACGTGCCTTCTCTGCGTCTCTGCCCCATCGCCGCATGTGAATCAACCGGGCTCCAATCCCGAGCCATGTGTGCCGCTTTCGGTTCTTTGCATCATGAAGTCGGGCTCTGGCGCAGGCCGTATGTCCAGCCATGTCATACTGAGGTAACGTGGAAGCAGAGGGCCAGGCGAACAGCGAACATCTCGGTCTCATCAATGCAAGCAGCGCGGCCGACTGCAATCGAGAGCCATTCGATTTGAGTGACTTATTTTTGCTGCAGTGTTTTTCCATCCCGTGTCTCTGTGGATCAGAAGTAATATGATGCAACTTGGTACGCTACTTCATACATCCGGCGTGAATGCCCTGTTTCATTGGCCAATCCGGGCGGATGCTGATCCTGCTGTTACAATACATTTGACAGAAGTGTGGAAATTTTGACTTGGCGAGAAACGACCGGTGTGCGTGTGCCACCCATGAGAGGGAAAGTCATCCATGCTCCGATGTATTATCTGTCAAATTGGCCCTACCTAACTTCAGGTTCCAGAACGAGAAACAGTAGGGAGAGGCTTTTGATTGTATTTTAAATCACATGCTCCTTCAACATAGCATGGGCCAAAGAACGGTCCGAAAAACAGGTAGAGAGTTTCCAGCTGGTGGACGACAGTCCGCCAGCCAATTTCGCCATCTGCGCCTGCAAGCAAGGTACTCTTGATGCGACCAAAACAAAATGACACCATGTGTCCTCGAGCGAGACCTTTTCATCTTCGCTTTTCTTTCCTTTCCTCTTTTCTCCTTTCAGCTTCAGCTAGCTTTCCCCGTTTCGTTAATTGGTCTTCGTAAAAGTCTCGTCATCACACCATTACAGTCCTTTACCATCACATATCACATCCTTGTTAGTCACATCCTCGGAAGCGTCGCCGACCTCATCCTTGGAGGTTTCACCAGTCCCATCCTTGGAAGATCAGCCAGACGAGTCCTTGCAAGCCTTACCAATTACGTCCTTGGAAGTCTCACCGGTGACGCCCTTAGGGGTCTCACCCTCAGCGTCCTTGGCAGACTCATCCGTAGCGTTCTGGCAAGTGTCGCTGATGATGTCCTTGGAAAGCTTGTCGGTGATGTCCTTGAGAGCCTCGTCGGTGACGTCCTTGGAAGCTTTGTCGGTGTCGTCCTTGGAAGCCTTGTTCTTTGTTTCCTTGGGACCCTCGGCATTGGCGTCTTTGGGAGCATCGCCGGTGACGTCCTTGGTAGCCTCGTAGGTCATGCGGTTGGGTACCTCACGAATCGGATCTTTGCGTACGTAGATTTGAATGTCACCAAATCCCAAGCGATCTGTAGGGAATGGAAACCTGTGATAGCCCTTGACCATCTCTCGAGTACGTGGGGAGTCGTGATCGGTCGAGTATGGTCTGCAAACACTACATTTAGTAACCGAAAACGCCAATAGAATAGTGACTGAACCTTGGACCCAAGATGGCTCAAGGGAAAACGAGGGAAGTCGAGTCTAGGAAGAGTTGGGACGAGAGGGAATTGAGAATGCTTACGAGAGCAGGCCGAAGTTACCGTGCCTTTCATACACCCTCCACTGCTCGTCACCCTCCTCTCTGACCTCGTTGCAGATCAAGATAGCAGGTCTGCCCAGGTCGGCAACAACTTGTTTCACGGGGATGTTCGGGTGACAACTGAATACCACGGTATCTTCATCAATGAGGGTGAATCCAAGACCGCCGCGGCCACCTACGACCTGAATGCCGGCTTCAGCAAGCACGCGCTTGTCGGCGTCATTGTAGATCGGGTCCTGGCAGAAGACAGTCAGGCTACCAACACCCAGCCGTTTGCCAATTACATTGGCAATTGTCAGCGCTGCCGCATGCTGGATGATGGCCGAGTAGATTCTTTCCTCTGGTTCGTATCTCGCATCCTCGGTCTCAATCGACCACCCAAGACTGCCGAGCCCAAAGCAGACTACCTTGTTAATAGTCTTTGAGATTGCAGCTTGTTCTTCCAGAATGTTGCTGATCTCTGCACATGTGTAGCTAAGAGGCCAATAATGTTTCGCGACGGCATCCCATCTGCCTCGGATCGTAACGTAGTCGATAGAGCAAGGAGCATAACTGATGAGCGAAATGGACATGGCGCGAGTAGCCAGTGTACGTTTTGCCTCGTCACTGAGGGCTGCCACTGTCTCGCCAAGGTTGTGGTCATACTCCTTCTCGCTAACGATGCCTTTAAGGTCTTGGTAAAGGAAGTACCGGATCGAAGGCAGCCTATAATAAATCTCGAGTTCAGTGACTTATTCTATTGCAAGTTGTGGGACCACGGAGCTGTACTCACGGGCGGCCCATGGAGCCTCCTCCAGGGCGTTGGGGAGAGGTAGGTGGTGCCCGCGGAAGCCGCTTGTGCCTGAGCTTGCCGTTCACTGCAGTCCCATGTCAGCAGCGAAACATGAAAGAATAAGATAGATGGAGAAGGGCATGGAAAGGTGGTGAGGTGGAAGTGGCGTGGAGAGGAGCAGGGGAGTGGACATACTGCTCCGTAGCTCAATAAACCTGGGAATGGGTTGTTTGGCAAGCTCAGCCTCAGCCAAGGCGAACATCTCCTTGGTCCATAGCTTAGCACCGGAGTTGTACAAGGCTTTAATGTACGCGATTTCCTCTCTCATCGAGGGAGTGAGCACTGGGTCGTTTCGCCTGTCTGCCTCTGCTTGGAGATCAGCGAGGGAGAAGGCTAATGTCAGGGCGTCACTCATTGGATCCGGGATATATCTTTCTCTGTCTTGAACGAAATACGCGATACAGAATCTCTCCCAGCTTGGCTGAATGGAGAGATGGGTATTTTGAGAAGAGAGGGGAAGAGAGTAGGGACGACAGCCTCATACAAGCTGAATGCCTGTTCGAAATGGCCTGGGTGTCACGATCGGTGGCACAAGAACAGCGGATGCGGTTCTTCCGGGAAAAAACATGAACTCACAGGTCCGGCGTGTGTTTTGCAAAGTGCGAGCGCGTGTTGCTTTTTGCAAGAGGCGGCATCTATGGAGAGTGAAGTAACTGAGTGCGCTGCACATTGACGGCTGCCTGAGGTGATGACGGTCAACGGCTGCTCCTTCCCGACACTGCACGGCTGCCAGCAACTGCAGCAGCACTTCACTGCGGCATTCACTGTCTTGTCGATTGCGGACAACATGAAAGTCATAGCATTTGATGCGATTTGCATCCAGGCCCAAGGCTCAATCTCCTCCCTCTCGATCCTCCCCTCCTTTGCACAGCTCCGAGCAGCACCTCACAGACGTGCTTTGCCGGCTGGGAACAGGAACTCATCGACAAGCCCGGCCGCCTCTCGTGCCACCCCGAACCCGAAGATATACCCTCCTCCTGTGATCCCTAAGCCTCGTCAGCAGGGTCCAGCTTCTTCCCATACGATACACACGGATGCCCTACCGTAAGCATGCACAATGTTCTGGCCTTCCTTGACCTCCTTCTCGATGCGCATTCCCGTCGATCTGTACGGCCGGATGCCCACATTGTGCCCGACAATTTCGTAGTCTGCTGGATCGGCAGAAAAGTGTTCCGGCAGGGTTTTGTTTACCCTTTTCGCAATCTACGGCAGATTATTAGCACCTGCCGCCGGCGCGAGCGACACGTTGACTCACATCTTTGTCAACCTCAAGATCGACCTTCGTATTGCTGTTTGCACAAGCCGCTGTCAGTCCAGCCGGAGAGCAGGCCCAGCTTTCATCATACCTGATATCTGGATCTCGAATGCCGCCCAAAATCACCGTTCCATCCAATCGCGGGATGACATATGTGTAAGTCTTCCCATCGTCGCGCATCATGGTTTTCTTGTAGTCACTCTTGACTACCATGATCTGTCCCTTCAGAAACAGCATGTTCTTGTCCTGAACATCCCCCAGATCCCTGGGCCCCAGTCCAGTCGCATTTACAAGAACGTCGTGCCCGAGATGCCGCGCATCCGAAAGCGAGCTGAGGTCGAGCCTCACGAATTTGACCCCTGAGTCCTCAAGGTTGCGTCTCATCCAAGGGAGGAAGATGTTTGGGTTGAGAACGATCGTTGTATCTGCCATCCGTCAGTTGGCGCATTGAATATCGACAGGTCTAGACACACAGGAATATCCCCCATCGGTCCCTTCTGGAAGCTCGTCGTTTGCGAGGAAGCGGAACTGTCTGGATCAGCACTAATCACAATTTTTTTTAGGTTTTCTGCATCGCGTACATCGGGCACAAACTCCCTGAACCATAAATCGTCCCCCGTCCGCTCTCCGTTAAAGAACTCCTCCATCGTAATCCTTTTGACGCTAGACTCTGGAAATCTGCTGGCCAATCTCCACCACTCACTGAAGGTATCACGCTGCCTTTTCCTGTCACAAGGCGAAGAACAGTACCCTGCCACAAAATTAGCACCGGCCCACGGGCTTGCCCATTCAGTTGTCGGGTTATCTCCCGGGAGGTTTTTGGCGACCACGGTGATCTCGTGGTTGCGAGAGAGCTGTGCCGCTATGGCAAGTCCGGTAATTCTGTTACCAACCCATGTCAGCCAACTATCGTCAATAAGCATGAACCGTACGCGATAACCTACCCGGCGCCGACAACGGTGATTCGTGCCATGGGGGCGATTTGGAAATTTTTTATTCTTCTGCTGATTTTGCTGTTTTCTCGAGTTTCTGGAGGGTCTGGAAGCGCTTGGGTGTTCCCGGGTCTTTATCTCCTCCATGTATTTCAATACCCCGCATCCAGCTAGGAGCTTCTGATAATGAGGTCTCGGATGAGTTCCCGAAATACAGCTGAACCCTTATCTTTGAGTGCGGCCTGCCGCCCGATCTGCCTGGGTTGGCCTCGGTAGGCCTCGGTATTACACGCTCGCATAGCCAATATGGACGTGGACACACAGTGCAGATGGAGCAGTGCCAGGAAGGACGGTAAGGGAATACACCTACCGAAGATTCATCCTCTGGTAATACACCTCCCATGGTAGAAGAATGGACGGCGTGACGTATGGTTCCTTTTACATGATGATGATGATGATGATAATGAGCTGCCTTTAGTCTCTAGGAAATGGTTTTAAGAATTTGACAAGGTTCAAGCGTGGTCGGTCCAAAGCTCTTGTGATCTCGAGACGCCTGCTCAAGAGATGGATGTTGTTTTCCGCTTTCTTTTCGAGAATGCGAGAGTCGTTGAGTTTTTTAAAATGGAATACGTCCAACTATTTTCTGAAAGCCCCAGGGTTAAAGTAAAGGTCTCATGTTCCAAACTAGTGCTCAAGCTTGTTTTGCTCCGTACATCAAATGCTGGCCAGTAATCTTCCCTCTGAATGAGCCACGGCCATGGAACAATTTTGTGACTGCAGCTAAGAAAGTTGTTTGAACCTTCTATTAGACTTTTGGGATGATACATGGGGTTTTGGGTGTTTTTTGCCTCCCTGTGCCGAGGTGTGTGTGTCATGTCGTATCAAACCTTTTTAAAGCCTTTCTTTCCAGAACTCACACATAGGCATAGTGGGCTCGCATAAACTTACCTTTCTATGCTGAGGTGGCAATGTGTCATGTGGTATCAAACTTTTCCAAAGCCGTTTATTTTCTGAACTCACACATAGGCACAGTAAGTTCACATAAACTTACCTTTCTATGCTGAGGTAGCTATGTGGTATCAAACTTTTCCGAAGCCGCTTCTTTTCCGAACTCACACAGACACACTGAGCTCACTTGGAAAGGCATAAATTTTCCTTTCTGTGCTGAGGTGGCTGTGTACTTTACAAGGTGGTAAAGAACTTTTCTAAGTCTTTTTCAGAATTTTTTTCTTTCTGCACTCACACATAGGCCCACTGGGAGCACTTGAATAAGTATAAATATCTCTTCTCCTCCCACTTTCAATGGGAAATTCTTCTTCAAGATTCCTAACCACATCCTCCTATCAAGTCCTCTATTGAAAGTGGGAAATTCTTCTTCAATATTCCTAACCACATCCTCCTATCAAGTCCTCTGACATTCAACAACCGGAACAACAAACAGATCAAAACTTTTAGCAATGGCTCTTATGTAAGCTATTTCTCTAAAGCCATTTTATGCTTGTAGGGTTAACTAACTGTTGATGCTTGGGTAGGCTTCTTGGCCTGTCTGTCGTGGCCAACGCCCTGGTCCCAGCTACCAGCTTGACTGCAGCCGTTCAGACTGGGGCCCCTGAGCCACCTTCCACTGCTGAGATTTATGCTAACCTTGGCAGCACTTACGACAAGACCGAACGGCCCTTCATTCATGGGAATTTGCCATTCGTGGAGGTGTCTCCTTCCAACAGCGGGTCGGCCTTGGCCGAGCGATCGGAGCTCGATAATCCTGACCCCGAGACATCTTCCGGCAAAAAGACCTATGATCTGGGGCATGAGCTGTGCCGCTTCCGAGTTGACGACGCCGAAGACGCTCGACGCGTGTGGAGCGAGACTGGCGCAGGGACTATTCTTGACAAATGGGTTAATGAAATGGATGCCAACAACGAGACTCAGTGGTTGAGGCAGTTTCAAGAGGTCTACCTTGGTGATCCCGACTACTTGCGCTGCGATAACCTGGGTGGATACACCTGCAAGATTGATCATCAGATGTGCAGTATGGCGGATTTCTTTCTCTTCTCTCCCAACCCAAATCACATTTGCCCCAATGCTCACATGAACTATCCCCTCATTTCCCCAATGCTCACATGAACTATCCCTTCATTGCCCCAATACTCACATGAACTATTCTCTGATTGCCACAATACTCACACGAACCTCCCTTGACAGATAAGATGGCCAAGGATGGCCTGGCCGGCCACTACTGGATCTTGAGGGCTGTCACCTCCATGAACTCTCTTCTGTCTCACTTGAAGGATTCCATCGAGATCAACAAGGAATACTTCGATATGCCCAAGCTGGTGGAGTCCTTCAAGCCTGGCGACAACAAATATTCAGTCAGAAGAGCTCTGGAGAGCATCGCCCTGGCGTTCCGCATTTCCAACTCGGCAAAGGCCCCGATTGAGACCTTCTCACAAGCGGCCCAAGATGCCATCGGCGTTGTCGAGTCACTCAACCCCGTTAACAAGCTCGATTTGGCCACAGAGGTTCTTGCCGGGGTGACCACCTCCCAATCGTTCGTTTCCGAGATCGAAAACCGAGGCGAGAGCCGTAAGCTCGATGAACTTCTCAAGGACTTGGGCCAGCGTTACTCGGGGACCATGGAAAGGCACTTGCAGAGACTGATGTGGACTGCCCTCGGCAATCAAGACCGGGCCAATCTGCCACAGAACTTGCTGACGGGAGATGGTGGCTACAAGACTGACATTGGCAAGTTGTTCGGCGATGGAAAGTGGCTCCTCGAGGATGCTTCGTTCAGCCTGCAGCCCTTCATGGACCAGACTATGCTCCTTGCGGTAAGATCCAGCCTCTTCTACTGAAATACCTCGGCAGTCCGCTAACATCCATGTTTAGACACAGAAGTTCTTGATCGACGTACTTCGCTCCAGTGAGGCCACGATGTTTGTCGATACCCAAAACCGAAGGGACTGGTGCGAAGGTGAAATCGCAGAGGATGGGTACATCACCCATCAGATTATGGACATGGGGCTCGGGAAGGATGCGTGTGTTGGTCTCCAGAAAAAGAAGTGGTCGTTCATCAGTGTGGATCAGGAGAAACTCCTCGCCGACCGCTTCCACATGAACACGAACGCCGTGTTCCGACATCTGTGGGACTGCGCCAAAGACTCGCGCTACACAGTCCCGGATGTCATGGAAGCTATACCGGTCGGGGAGATGAAGAGCGATGGGACGTTGCCTCATTGCTACTTTGCCATGCAGGTCTTCATGGGCAACCGGTACGACTGGGTCGCGAACAGGAAGGACGTCCATCAATACCTGGTGAATAATTGGACATCCAATGCCCTCATCACGAGAGAGCAAATGTTCAGTAACAACACGTGGAATCCGTGGTCTGTCTTTGGCCTGGGGGTCGACCTTCCAGCCTGGATTCATGGGAGAGGCTGATCCGGGATAATTTGTTTCTTTGCTCTTGGGCTATTTGTTTTTTAGTATTCTTTTAGTATTCTTTGAATATTCTTTTTGGGTATTCTTTGAGTATTCTTTTTGGGTATTCTTTGAGTATTCTTTTTGAGTATTCTAATAAAAGTATTCTGTTGTTTTCTCCGAGTTTGAATCTCATTATTCAGGTGCTTTTATGTCGACCACTGAATTCACTTGGAGAGGGCACACGAGCGGAAGGTTGCCAGGATGACAACGACAGGGTGGATCATCCCGCCACATCAAGAAACATACTGGAGCAAGAGTGTTCATAAATAATCTTTGGATTCAAAATAGCTACTTGAAGATCACCAAACCAACACATCTTCGAAAGATCTGACCATCTTGCCATGGGTATCATAAGCCTCCGCCACACCAAGCCTTCCAACAACCTAGTAGTAGTAGTAGTCGTCCTCGTCGACGTCACGAGCCTCAAGGAAGTCAAGGTCGTCGTAGATGTCACGACCCTCGAGGAGGTCAAGGTCCTCATAGATGTCGCGGGCCTCGAGGAGTTCAAGGTCGTCGTAGATGTCGCGAGCCTCGAGGTACTCATCGTCGAAGTCGCGGACCTCAAGGTACTCCTCGATATCGCGGGCCTCAAGGAGGTCAATGTACTCCAGGATGTCACGCTTCATGCCGCCGCCCATGCCGCTGAAAGCGCCGACCAGGCCAGAAAGAGCATTGGCACCTTCAACCACATTGTTGAACTTGTCGGTCTTGCTGGTCTTGGGCTTAGCAGGGGCAGCCTTCTTGGCAGGAGCGGCCTTCTTTGCTGGAGCGGCCTTCTTGGCAGGAGCAGCCTTCTTAGCACGGGGTTCCAGGTCACGCCTCCTGGCACCGCCACCCATTCCGCTGAAGGCGCCGACAAGGCCAGAAAGAGCATTAGCACCTTCAACAACGTTGTTAAACTTGTCGGTCTTGCTGGTCTTGGGCTTAGCAGGGGCAGCCTTCTTGGCGGGAGCGGCCTTCTTGGCAGGAGCAGCCTTCTTAGCACGGGGTTCCAGGTCACGCCTCCTGGCACCGCCACCCATTCCGCTGAAGGCGCCGACAAGGCCAGAAAGAGCATTAGCACCTTCAACAACGTTGTTAAACTTGTCGGTCTTGCTGGTCTTGGGCTTAGCAGGGGCAGCCTTCTTGGCGGGAGCGGCCTTCTTGGCAGGAGCAGCCTTCTTAGCACGGGGTTCCAGGTCACGCCTCCTGGCACCGCCACCCATTCCGCTGAAGGCGCCGACAAGGCCAGAAAGAGCATTAGCACCTTCAACAACGTTGTTAAACTTGTCGGTCTTGCTGGTCTTGGGCTTAGCAGGGGCAGCCTTCTTGGCGGGAGCGGCCTTCTTGGCAGGAGCAGCCTTCTTAGCACGGGGTTCCAGGTCGCGCTTCATGCCACCGACGGCACCGACCAGACCAGAAACAGCGTTCGCTCCGTTGACGACATTGTTGAAGGCCTTGGTCTTCTTGCCGCGAGGCTCAAGGTCACGCTTCATGCCACCGACGGCGCCGACCAAACCGGAGACAGCATTCGCACCGTTGACGACATTGTTGAAGGCCTTGGTCTTCTTGCCGCGGGGTTCCAGGTCGCGCTTCATGCCACCGACGGCGCCGACCAGACCAGAGACAGCGTTCGCACCGTTGACGACATTGTTGAAGGCCTTGGTCTTCTTGCCGCGGACCTCGAGTCCGGCGCCGGAGTAGTCGGTGGCCATGGGGGCGGCCATCGTGGTTTCGGCAACGCCGAAGACGACGGCGGCAGCGAGTCCGAGGTTCTTGTAGGCAACCATTTTGAATGTTGTTTGAAAAGATTATTTAAAGAAAATAAAAAAGGTTTTAAAAAGTTATATGTAAAAAGAAGATTTAAAAGGTATTGACCAGCAATAAAATGGACAGAGAAGCGAAGAAGACGAAAAGAAAAAGAAGAAAAGAAAAGAAACAGAGACCGGCTCTGGGTTTGTGATGCTGTTTGGATTTTTTGGTTGATGATATCGAAGAAAGAATCGGACAACTGCTCGGGCGACCCCATCCCCTTTATACGCAGCCTCTCATGAAGCCCTCCTGCCACGAACGGACGCTACCGCAAGCCCAGGGTCCGCTCAATCGCAAGGAGAGCAAGCATCTGGGCTGCCAGTTTCAGACGGTGTCAAAAATAGCGTTCGGGACGAGTGTCCACCACATCCCATGACGGTGAACCCGGCTCCCGGGATCCTAAGTTGGGAGTGCTACGTGGAGTATCAGACGAGTGTCCCAATGAAACACGGCGGGCAGAGGTTATCTCACGCTTATGGTATCAACCGGTTCCCAGTCGGCCGGGGCAGGAGAACCTGGTCCCTGGTCCTGTTGCGTGGTCGACAAGGCGTGCAATGCCCAAAACTGACTCATGAGGTACCTAAACAAACCCGTCAGTCAGCGTTTGCCCATGTAAGAATATGGACTGTGTGTGGGGATAGCCAGACTGGGCAGTCAATTACAAAGTCATGGTATGGGGGTCGCTCCGTCTCACGTACCTCAGGTCAGAATTTGGCATCGCCAAGTCCATTGGAAACAGCGAGGATCAGCATCTTGACCTTCTTGGTGTCTGGAGGGTCCACTGCAATTCCATGGTGCCCTCACATCCCAGTCAAACCTTTCTCTGGGCTTTGTGGGAGGCAGTGTCGCCTAGGTAAACGGTGTCCTTTGGTGTTTGAGCCACATCGCGCGACAAGATTCAAAGTTTTGAAGATGGGAAAATTTGCTTTTACGGAATGGAATTTTTGATCGTGGCTAGAGCTAAGCCACAAGATAGAGGTCATGTGACAATTATCAAGCAAGATTCAGTTCAATTGTGCATTGGCAATTGAACAGAACATTCAGAGTGGGCAGGTACGGCGGATGTTGCTCGCTAAGCTGCAGTCCATCATGCATCATTTCATGATCCTAAGCCATCGCATGCACTCTTGCGGCGCATTGCGTGAATTGAGCAATGTCGTCCAGTTACTTGCAGAGAGAATCATTTCAGCCATATAATTGATCGCAATCAAGCATAGACCAAAGTGCCGTTTTGCTCGGCAGGTATAAATATCCTGGTGGCCAGGGGCCCTGCCAGTGCCAGTGCCAGTGCCAGGGCCCCCCGAAGCACTGAGGCACAGGGAACGCTAATGAACCAATCCACTGGAAGCTCGCAGAACGCCCAGGAGCGAAGGATCCATCCATGGGAGATGCAAGATCCCCTGCTTGCTCACTCGGCACCGACACCAAGCTGCCCCCAGCCTGGGTAGCATTGGATCCCGGCAAATGCGTGCCTTTTCATTTGGCAGTGGCTGCGGATGACCCGGAGAGGGAAGACGAGGTTACGACGCCCAGCCGTCGCGCGCGGGTCCCCTCTCATACGCAGCTATGTGGCAAGGAAACGTGGGAGAAAGGACTTTGGAAGGTTTCCACACTCGACGACATCAGCTACCTACCGTACATCATGCCTTCCATCTAGATCTCCAGGCGTCCGGTCGAGTGTTTCCTTGAAACATCGCATCGCTTGGCGCCATAGAGCGTCGACGGTGAAAGGATTCTCTCCAAGGAAAAGGCTGCGGGCAGCATGGATCTCACGTCTGTTCCACCGTCTCCAATCCCAAACAACCAGGAGCCCCATGCGAGCCAGCTCCTGCCTCCTCTCCAAAATTACCAACTAAAAACTCACACCATTACGGGGCGATGGATCTGATCGGCGCGGTCTGCGCATGACTTTTGCTCCTGCTAAAATAGGGTGCATGCAGGAAAATAAAGAACAAACTCTATCGCCTTTAAGAAACAAGAGTTGGTCGAGATTGACCAAGGCACCCGTCCCGTGCGACACGAATCTGTCACCAGAGGCTGGGCGAACCCAAGGTGAATGGCTACAATAACCTTTGCATGGCACACCTACGGTCAGTCCTTACCTAGTCCGCGCCTCGTAGACATGGCAGACCGGTAATAAGCGTAAATTACTTTAATTCAGATGAGCCCGCCAAGAGCTTAGAGGATGCTATTGATAGAAGTGTGCGCAGCTGGTGTCCTCCACCGAGTACGTCATTGGATGGGGTCGCGCAGGTAACCACAGGCATCGCCATCCCGGTCAGACACTCCCAGGTCAAGAGAAAAGCGCTCTGTAACACACCTTCGACTAGGATTCTGGCTGACCATCTTGCGAGAAAAAAAATATGGAGTTGGAGGCCTACTGGCATTCTTTCAGATGTTTGTAAATCCAGAGGGAACCAAAGGCAAAAGGATTTGGATTTTGATGTCAAAGATTAGATAGTAGCAGTAGTAAGTGAGGGAGCTAGGCAGGCATCAAAGTTCAGCCTTCTTGCCCAGCACAATGAGGCTTGCACCCAGCCGTATGTAAGGTTCAACGCCAACAATAGCTCGTTCCCGGCACAATGAATCTTTCGTCGGGCGTCCCTTCATGAACCTAAAGATTAAATCGTATTAATCCAAAGCTTCGAAAATAGAACCAAATTATGTCAACGGAATACGCGTCAACGAAAAAACCAAATGAAAGGCTACATCTGGTGATTCTCATGAACACATGTACCCACACATTTGAACTACATTTTTGTTGCCCAACGCCTAAACCTGACACAAAAAAAATAAAAATAAAGATAAAATCAGAAGCCGCTGCAAGCAAGATTTGATTTTAATCATATGATCAATTGTTGACAATCAAGAGCGTACTCTCAATTACGACCAAGAAGAAAGGACGACTTTAGGGTAGTAACATTTGCACCAAGCCAATAAAAAAAAACAAGCTGCACCTCTGCGATTGATGGCTCTGCATAAGCCGAGACCCGACCGAGACCCAGCGCGATGCCTCTCCCCTGCGAGGCGACAGCACCGAGCCGAATGCTTTTGCAGAAGCCGTCCGTGGTTGTGATCCTCCTTCCTTACAATCTGTCGGATCGGGACAATTCACTCCTTTCTTTGCCTACTATGATTGTCTTGACACCCACCTGATTAGCCGCATTCTTAGAGGTTAGAAGTAAAGTGCGACCTTATCCCGATTTTAGTAATCGGGTTACACCCCTGAGACTTCACTCCGGCCGCGCGATCGTGAGGAATCTCACAGCGAGACAGGAAATTGGTCAGCAATTAATTAATATTTGCGCCAACATCGACCCAGAAAATCGGTAAGGCGTTGCTTTCAAATTTTAATTAATTCATATATCATAAACCACACCCTGTTACATGGGTATGTTCTCTCATCCTGCCGGTGGGATGGACTCTTGCAAAGCTCGCTTGCCAGGCGACTACGTACTAGGTTTTGCCGTCTGGTCCTGTCCTGTTGGACCAGCCGGTTAATTCATTTCTATTTTTCTCCCTTTGCTTGCTACCCATTCGCTTCGGGGCCCAAATTTATCAATTGCCTTATCGTTTTGAAAAGGGGTTGTAGGGAGGGGGAGCAATTTGAACATGTCCCCGAGATGCAGCAAATACCAAACTACATGTCCTCCAGCGAGAGAAGATATGTGTCCCTAATGAATTCATCTACGTTGATGCGTTTGGAATGTGAGTGTAAGACGATATGTACTGATCAGAAGATACGCCAGGGTTATTCCCATCTACAAAACGAAGAACGCGGGGATAACGGCGATGAACCTTTCGTGGAACATCAAACAGTCTTGACTCTGTCATGGCAGCCTTTTGTTTTGGTTTTAGCGAGCGCGATTGAAATATGAAGCGCGAGATCAACAGAACCTCCGGCTATTGAATGTGCTTGAGTACCCTTTACTTCCCTCGTTGTGGGACTGCGCGGCCTAGGTCAGCGAGATCTCACAATTGACTACGAGGAGTCTGTTATTCCGTTGTGTCTTCGTTGAAGCCGGGGAGTGAGATCCGACGAAGGGGCCTCGACTCGGGGCCAAAGTAGACGCCAATAATCACAGTGATAGCAAAGCTGATGAAGGCCAGAAAGTATATGCCAAGGCGATGCCATTCTGATGATTCGGCCAGTTGGCTGTGCTGCTTGGGTACGATGATAATAAGCAGGGAATACAAACTCGGGTGGTCAACTTCATATTAAAAACTATTCCAGAATCGCATCACACCTGTAAGTGAGGTCTGGTCCGGATATTAGCTCTGACCCAGTTTCTGTCTGCGATGGACGTGTGAGAATAATTTGAAGACCTCATCGCCCGGCCCTAAAGGAACTGGGTCTACGTGTGTCCCTGACCCAAGCAACGACTTGCACATGCTATATTAAAGGCCACTTGGAAGTGCGAAGGGGGAGTCGGAGGCCAGAACATGAAAGGATCGATACCAAGGTGAGTATGTTGATTGATGCGACTGACTAGAGTACCGATTGAGGCGCACACAAAAGCGAGAGCTGCTATCCAGTCCACTCATCTAAAAGACTAAGAGCATTTGCCTTGAGGTTCAGCCTTGAGGTGGTGGCAATTGAGGAGATGCAGATGAGAGCAGTATTTGGTCGCTTGGTGATTTGACCTGCCGAGTCCGACCGAGAGCTGCCAATCCGACATGCTCAGCGGCGGCGTCCATGTGTCGTGCTCCTTCAGGTCGTGCCGTTAGATTCAAGTGTTCAAATTGCCTAAGACCATTTGAGGAGTCAACTCCCGCTTCCAGCAGTATTAAATTCAATGAGACCGGTCTTTCTCCCCGGTACTACCCCTCCAACGGTCGCGATGGGGGCAAGCGGCAGGTGAGGTTTGTGGTTGGATGGAATGCATGCTCTATAGGCTAGATTCTAGAGAGTTGCGATTGGAACATGGCTCAGAGAAAATAAATACATCCATGACCTTATCTTTCAAGTTGTCCGTAGTGATTGAGATCGATTTAGCAAGGGGTGTTGCCCATGTTGCTCATCTACTCTTGATGGAGTTCTTACCCAGCAGTGTGCACCCTCGTTTGATCACCTCCCTCTAGCACAAGCCTTAGATACTTTCTTGCATTGGTCATTAAGTACGCAGAGCAGCTACAACAATGGGTGAGAATAAGCCAACCCATAGAAATCATCCCATGCTTAGATCTTGTCCTTCACGCAGCTCCCCAATCACACCCTCAAACAATACAGGCAAGAATTCAGCAGCATCGCCCCGAAAGAAGAAGTCCTTCCTGCCTAGCCCTGCCTGAGTACCGGCGTCGGGGTTGATAACCGCGACAACAGCACCAGCCTGTTGGGCTTGGCGCACATAACTTGCAGCTGGCTGCACCGTGGCTCCGGTGCCGATGACGAGCATCAGATCGATACTGCCCTCCGATATCCAGCCGTCAATACCCCTCAGCATGCTGTCATTCACCGCCTCGCCAAACCAGACGACCCCAGGCCGAAGCAGTCCCGTCTGGCACTGCGGGCAATGAGGCAGGTCTTCCTCGCGGATGGAGGGTAGCGGTTTCAGAGGATCAACGAGTGGCATCGTCTGATCCGGCGGATAGTTCTTTGCGGCCTCGGCTAGGGCCTCGCATGGCGGATCATCTGTATTATCCTTCTCAAAGTAGCCGCACTCGTCAGAACACTTCAGGTCCAGAATACTACCGTGCAGTAGTTTCAATTGGTCCAGCGGATGACCTGCGCGAGGCGACAGCCCATCGATATTTTGAGTTAGGCACAAGAAGCCCTCTTTCCGCTTGGCCAGCTCAGCGAGTGCGTAGTGACCAGCGTTCGGGGAAGCTTTGATCGCCACGTGTTTTTGCCAGGCGTAGAACAACCACACCAGGGCTGGGTCATCCTCAAAGGCTTCAGGGGTTGCCAGCGAGGCCGGTGAGTGGTTGCGCCATAGCCCACCGGCGCCACGATATGTGGAGAGGCCGGAAGGGGCTGATAGGCCAGCGCCACAAAGGGCGAGGATTCTGGTGCTAGACTGCAACAGGTGGCGGAACTCTTCAACGGAGGTGCTTGGTCTCGAGGCCACGGCGTAGGGGGTGTGGCGCATCCAAAAAGGCCGGCGAGAATAGAAACTCATGGGAGCAGACAGAGCTGTGTGTGCCCTGTTGAAGAGGGGAAGAGAGTCACATTACCAGAGGTACTTGTGTTGGCATCAGGCAGAAGCTGCAGAGTGTGGCGTACACTGCAAGCCACAGCATCAACACGCCACATCCGAGCTAAACCCGAAAAGCGGCCTGGGCGCGCTGACATTGCTACAGGATCAGGTAAATGGATGAACAATTCGCTGGATATGCTTCTTCGGCATACATGTGCTCGACAAGTTTGATGATTAGACAATTCGGTCCATCTCAATAGCAACCGTACGCGGAATTACCTTCAAATTGATCCGGCCCAACAGACTCGGATGAGGAAGTTGCTGCGGAGCAGTTTGGCGAATATCTAATTATGTAAGCAACAGCACTGATCTTGCTTTCAATGTTAACCAGCCCGCTGTCGCAGAAAGAGTGCTCGGCTCATCAAGAAAAGAAGAAGAAGAAGAAGAAACCTCTTAAGATTAGGCTAATTCATTACTGTCTTACATCCAGATGGTATTGATCCAAGGTCGGAGGCCTGAAGGAGGGCCAGGTGGGGAGCTGAACCTCTCCATCAGCTAGCAATGCCGTTTCTCCGGATTTTATTAACTGGATGCGTGGGCCTTTGTATGCAATATCATCATGCAGCACGACTGCAAGGGTAGAATTTGTGGCATATTTACTTCCTGTAGACGAGGCCTTTCGAGCTTCATAGCTGCTCAAGACCGGATTTTGTTACTCGGTTCAATTGAGGGGGCAAGTAGCGGTGTAGGGTAAGTGTCTTGCTTGCAAGACACACCAAAATGTTGCCAACATCCACCACATCCCGTCAATTGATCAGGCAAAGCTGGCTCCTCGGCTGCGCCCCAATGACATATTTGATAGGCTCGTCGTCCCTCTTTCAAACACGCTAGAAGCGAGCTTTGTTAGGCAAGGATCAAACACAGCCAGCCCGCCTAAGCCCATTTCATCGTTGGCCTCGTCTGTGGCGAGCCGACTTGCCGATCAGAATGATCCGAATGGCGGTGCTGACAGGGGTTCTAGAGACAATGGAAGACAAACCCGCCAGCAACAGCGCTGTGAGATTACGCCGTGCGAGCGGTCGCAGCAGAAAACATCCAGACCAGGGGTCCTGAGATCCATGCCATTAGCCCATGTACGGCCACACTTGGCGCACAAATACCGCGTCATAATTTCACAGTCACAAGCAGGTTTTCTTCCTTGGCCATATATAATACCGTTATCGCTCTTCCCCCACCCATAGATCGAGACGTTGCCTGCTTGCGCCGCATTGCACCGTGAGCATTCCCTCCCGTATCGCCCACTTGCGACAACAGAAAAACTGCGACAAAATGACTGCTCTACGCAACAAACTCCTCTCCTACCTGCTCCTGCTCGTCTGGGCCGTGCCCACGACGTTTGCGCTCGCCCTGCCCTCCCTCGACGACGGCCTCTCCCTCCTCGAACGAGCGAGCAGCAGCAAGAACAAGACGTCGACCAAGAAGGGTCTCAGCCGCGCGGCCATCATCGGCATCGTCGTGGCCGTGGTGGTGGTTGTGATCATCGCCGTGACCCTGATCATCTGCTGCGTCTGCCTGAAGAAGTGCCGCGGCGGCAAGAAGAAGGGCAAGAAGGACGCCAACGCCGGCGCCGAGCCTATGCGCCCCTACGGCCAGTCCACCGAGTACTCGAACCAGGCGCCGCAGAACAGCGGCGTGAGCCAACCTTACGGTCCTCCCCAGGGCCACTACGCTCCCCCGACTGGCCAGTACGCTCCTCCTCAGGGTGCACCCCCTCAGAGCGGCTACTACGCCTAGATGTGATGTTGGGCTCGGATCGTGCACGTTCGGCTCGCGGTTGGGTTCTCTGCGACAGTCTTCAATGGCGGTCGCGCCCCAAGGGTTGTCCCGTCGCTCGCATATACGGCACGTGGAAAATGGCGCGGTTGCTTGAATATGACCTTGTTCTTCCGTAAGACAGCGCGCGGTGTCTTTTGTTTCGGTCGGCCTCGCCCTTGCTATAGGTCGGTAGTGACAGCTTCTGCGCTCGGCTTAGATTCGGGCATGGTTATTGCGCGTGTTGGCTATTCGCTCTGGTTTTACCCACGAGGCGAAGTAATGTTTGTATGACTCGATCGGATGCTCCTCGACAGAGCTCGGTCGCCCTGCGTTCGTCCTGCACGGATGTCTGCGCCCAGCTTTGTTGTTGGTGCCGATGGTGTGGTTGCATGGGTATTCAATTGGTTTATATGATAGGTACGGTGTAATGTCTGGTTGGCTTCGGCCGGGCTTCGATGATCAGGTTGGCGCTACGCTCGAAGGGTATGTATGCCATTCTCGGCGCTCGATTACGTACAGCCATGGGTGCGACTTGGTCGTCTGATTTTTCGGGGTGGCTACTTTATGAGGCAATGTAACGAATGTTGGACGGCGGTCGAGCTCGCCTTGACGCTGGTCGTTTGCGCTGCTTTCGGCTGGCTTGGGGTGTTCTCGGCCCGTTTTGGGCATGGATGGTTCGATGTCCAATCTGGCTCTCTGATGAAGCGATGTTATGTCTATTTGGCACGATTGCAACGAGATGGAGGGCGGTGGTGCGGCGTAACGATCGATGTTTTTCCTTTCTGGGTGTTAGCTAAGCAGACAGCACGACAGGCGCATGTGTTAGTATCGTGGGTAGTACTTAATTCAACCTAATCTCCCAATGGCCGAACAGCTCTAAGATGGAGTGTAGGACTGTTTTTGATTGAACCTGTGCAGTCGTACCGGAACGGCGCAACGGTTGCTGTTGTGCGTGCAGTCGACCACCGATCAGCTCGGACGGCATCGGCGCCAATGTTCAGGCATCCTCTGGGCACTGGACACTGCCAGTACATATGCGGCCCTGGCTGCTTCTGTCTGCCATGACAGACATGGAACATGGGCGTGCTCATCGCGTGGAGGGTCTGGTTGTAGGGAAGCGCTTGGGGCTGCCAATGGTGGCCTGGTCTGGTGTTTGCAACGTTGATTAAGGTGGGCACCCTGGTATTGACGCTATAATATGATAATTGATATACACCAGGCCTAAAAAGGTACCCGTTGTCGACGACACTCCATTGCAACGATTTTGTATTGCAGCGATGGAGGTGAACCCTTATGAAATTCTACATACGGAGACTTGGCTAATCAGGCGCCGTGTATTTGCTTGACGGAACGGCCTGCTCCCGACGCGTAATCAGGTGACCTCAGGCAGCGAGATGCAGGTCGTCATAAGGCTGGGTAAGGCTCTGAATTTGCACCTGTTCCCCTCTCTCTTGTCACCGTCTCACCACCGCATCGATTCCATCAAATTTTCTGTGCTCGTGGTCGAGACAAAGACGTCCTGGCATAATAGCGACTAACAATCAATCTTTCAGGTAGTCTGCACGTTCTGTTGCTCTGCGAATTACTTGTCTGCCCGTCCGCACAGGTAGCCTTTCGTAACTACCCAAGCTGCCCACCCCTCTGCCAATATCCAGCCATTACTGAGCTGCATGAGAGATATGGATTCCTCCACAGCTCAAGTACTCGATTCGACCCCCATCTATAACGTCCCACCAGAAGTCCTGCACCGGATACTCGCTCACCTGATCAAACCATGGGGTTCGCCTGAGAACCTCGACATTCTTCGCATCTCGAAATATGTGTACAATGTCGCTCTCCCTCTCACCGTGAAGAGGTTCGAAAATCCTCTTGGCCTTGAGTATAATGACCCCCAATCAGAGGTCGAAGTGGCAAGGTACCAGAGACGCAACGCCCGATTTCTACGCTACCTACTTATCGAGAAGCCCCGACTCGCACATTATGCTCAGGAAATAAGCCTGAGAGAAGTGCAGATTGAGAGACAGACTGCTCGTTCATTTGGCGAGCACAGCGAGGCTGACTTGGAGTTTTACGCCGACTTGCTGGTGAACAAGCTAAACATGATCATTCCATTTGATTCGGCAGTTGAATGGATCGACAGTCTTGGGAAAGGCTGTAGCGATGCTCATTTTACCTTTCTGGTCGCTTCTCTCCCTGGACTTTGCACGGTAGCCTACGATCCCGCCAACAATGACCAAGATGCTGATGCACGGCGAGCCCGCGAGCTAGCTGAAAGCCCAGGCGCTGGCATCGTACCTTGCTTTCATACCGCTCTGCTCCCCCTGAGATCGATTGAGTTCTCGACCCATGGACTTTCATCTCGCGAGATCTGGCACTTTAGGCCAGACCGTATCTATCCTGCAATGTTCAGGCGTCCCCGCTTTCGGTCTCTCATGAAAACCCACTTGATAGGGAATACTTCGATGATACAGAAGTTTGAACGATTACCGCCAAGAGCTTCGTCCATTGAGAAGATCTCCTTGTCTGAATCACATGTGTCCCATCGTTTGCTTCAAGCCTTGCTGAACTCGTGCAGAGCTGTGGAAGAATTCACGCTCATGTCCGGCTTGCGTGTCCCAGGCGCCAACATCGCCCCAGAGGTCCGTCCGAGGGAACTGATCCAAGCCTTCTTGCCTCATGCAGATACTCTGGAATACCTCTGTACCACTTTCGACTGCCACCGACATCTGAGAATGGACGAGATTGTGCTTGGAAAGTCTTTTTTTGGCCGGCAGCTTGCTGACATGACGGCGCTCACGACCATTGTTGCGGACATGGAATCAATCACCGGCGTATGCTTCAGGAATTTGAGCAATTGGGCTAGGGTGGTGCAGCATCCCAATGAAATGCTAGAGCTAGATGAAATTCCGAGTGTGGCGGAGTGCCTTCCAGCCTCCCTGCAGTACCTTGAACTCCGCAACTGCACCCTGGTGGTTCGCGAACTCATGCAAGACTTTTTGCAGCAGATTGGCCCCGGAAGACAGTGTGAGAGCCTGCGGCATCTTCGTTTGATCCTCGACTTTTACGATATGGGACGCGAAGACCATCTTCAATTGTGGTTGGATCCAACTACGCCTTTGATATTGGACCTCGAGTACACGCCATCTGCGTGAACTTCCTGAACATCGCCGCCAGGAGAAGATTGCTGCGCAGATGCCCTTGGCCCATGAATGGCAGCTATTGAAGACTCGCGTGGTTGCCCCTCCTGACCCAGGAATCCACGCGAAAGAGAGAGAGATCGAGAGAGAGAGAGAGAGATCGAGAGATCGAGAGAGAGATCGAGAGAGAGAGAGAGAGATCGAGAGAGATCGAGAGAGAGAGAGAGAGAGAGAGAGAGAGAGATCGAGAGAGAGAGAGAGAGAGAGAGAGAGAGAGATCGAGAGAGAGAGAGAGAGATCGAGAGAGAGAGAGAGAGATCGAGAGAGAGAGAGAGAGATCGAGAGAGATCGAGAGAGATCGAGAGAGAGATCGAGAGATCGAGAGAGAGAGAGAGAGATCGAGAGAGAGAGAGAGAGATCGAGAGAGAGAGAGAGAGAGAGAGAGAGATCGAGAGAGAGAGAGAGAGATCGAGAGAGAGAGAGAGAGATCGAGAGAGAGAGAGAGAGATCGAGAGAGAGAGAGAGAGATCGAGAGAGAGAGAGAGAGATCGAGAGAGAGAGAGAGAGATCGAGAGAGTGAGAGAGAGAGAGAGAGAGAGAGAGTGTGTGTGTGAGAGAGAGAGAGAGTGATAGAGAGAGAGAGAAGAGAGAGAAGAGAGAGAGAGAGAAGAGAGAGAGAGAAAGAGAAAGAAAAAGAAAAGAAACAGAAAAGAATCAAAAACAGAAAGAGGAGAATCAGTCTGACTAGAAGGATCCTTTTGAATGAAATCCAATTGTCGTTGGATTTTGAGCAAGGAATAATTACTTCTAGGGTGAAACTATGGCTGATAGGTGCGGTAATTTTCACTTTGGGCCTCAAAGGAGTTTGCTGGATGCCCAGAGGTACGCAGGCGGTAGTCATCGATGCGTTTGGGACAGGTAACTATCGTTTTCGTTTTATGATGGAATGAACCTTGAATGATATTGTTCACAAATTTCAATGTTGAGTTTCTGATGGATCTGGGTAGGCATATAAGTGCCAAGCAGGGGAGTTATTGGCGGATCTTTCTGAACGGGTAGATCTGATCTGATCCGATAGGCGACGGTAGGGCTTAATTAGACTGTGGTGATGATTGCATTTTGGGAATGGGATGGAACGGCTGGCACTAGTTCTGGTATTTATTTTAAATTAGCCACATTGAGGGACTAGTTCAACCTGGAAGTGTTCTTTGATGCGTGCCATTCATACGAAGTTTGAAGCTCTAAGCAAGATGAAAACAAAGGTAATTACATCAGCGCATCACGGGAAAAGATGATGGAAGGGTATCACGTGAGAAGACAGTAGAACGATATCACGTGAGAGGATGGTTGAAGGCTGAGCAACCAAGGGACGCTGAATCGAGAGGCATCTGGACGACTTCCAAGTCCCTCAGGCCGCTCTATTACAGATAAAGTCACTGCCTACGCCCTCAGGTAGCAATTGAAATTTTGCATGTTCCGTCTACTCTGTAACTGCTAGGCATGTAATCTATGTCTTGTATTTGCTTGAACCAACATCCAGATGCTGCCTTTCGGAAGATCAATAATGAGCCAAATCTATTCGGCCATCTATTTCTATTAGACTGTGTTAATCGATTTTTTTCTTCTGAGGCGAGCACAGCGGTATATGATCTCATGCATGTTTCCTTGCCACTTCGCTTAGCTGTCTTTAGGTTGAGCTGTGAGACTCACTGGGTAGTGCCTGCCTCTGCTTCTCTTTCGCAACCGCGGACGGCCGGCGGAAAAGTTTTAGCTGCACGCTTGGAATGGCAGGTGCCATTCCAAGCGTCATTGTCGCTAGATTAGCGAAGGCGAGCCACTATATGACGTAGGTGCATTTCCCCCAGATCAATACCATAACTGCGTTGAAATTGGGTTGCCTTGGTACCCAGTACGTTGTTGCCCGGTACGGTACTTCAAATGCATGCATTTTAGCAGGTACTAGGTACCTCGCATTTCAGCGCATGAATGTTGATATTCCAAACCTTCAGCCTTTAGATGTAGATAACAGGCTACGGCTTGACATTGCTGAGATTCTAAACCGCCTTGGCGAATGTTTTCCAAGTGTTCTTCATGTGTTTGGTGGGAATGCATACAACAAAAGCTGCTTCAGTCAGCTCATGTAGAAACCTGAGGTGCCTGCCGATGCACGTACCTAGGCCTGTGGTGAGCGGCAACTGAAGCCTGCGAAGTCTGAACCAGATACAGGATGCCCCTCCTCTGAGCCGCATGATTCACGGCAGGAGCTTCTCTCTTTCCTTCCCTGAAAACCATCTGGACCACCATCTGAAGCGAGCATTCAGCAAGAACATTTGCCACCATCAAAACAACAGCAAGACACAGGAACGTCACTTGCAAATCTTTTGACATGCAGCACTTCGGTCTGTCTGCTCAGTTTCTCTCCTTGAATTCGATCATCTGCTCATACCGTATAGCTTCATAACCAACGCCTATCCCTCCTCCTGCGTGGCCCTAAGGCATGTCAGCGCAACTTCCCCCCCAGCGGGATTGAGCATTAACATCTCGCAGCCTCCTAATCACCTGATATATTCTAAGTTGTATCGAAGCCGAAGTACGTCAACCTGGCTCCTTTCCCCGCGAAACTGCTCATTCGCTTACCATTAACTCGCAGCATTGTTACCACCTCCCCCTCTCTCGATTTGGGCTGCGACCCTCAGGTATGATACCTCAAGCTGTCCAAGGAAAACCCAACGCTGATACACTATCGTCATTTAAAGAAGCAGCAATTGATCCATCTCGATGAACGGGTACCACAAGGACGACAAGCTGACCCTCGAGGTTGGGCTCGATGCAGTACCTCTAGTGGTCTCCATCCAGGAGGTTAAACACACAGAGCAGGGTCCAACTATCTTGGACGTAACCTCCGAGGCATCACCTGGGGCTGAACTTGTCCCCGCCAGCTTCAAGTTGAAGATCTTTGATAGGCGCTACGCCCACGAGCTCCGCAAGCAGCTGCAAACTGGGACGTGGAATGCCGACAAAGACCACATTCTGCTCAGAGATGCCATGACCGGCAGTGTTGACACCTTCCTCACTGAATGGAGTCGAGATGCCAAAATTCCTTACAGTCCAACCTCCATCGAAGCCAACAATCGGGAGGCCATCATCTGGGAGTTGATGCGACGCCAGTATCATTCAGAACTCGCAATGCACCAAGTTCTCCAGGTGCGAGAGAAGAAGACCGACCCGGAATTACTTGAAACTGCCACGCTACGCACTGGCACCACCATGGACTTTGTGTTGGGCTTGATGTACACCAGCAATCAGTATTTCAATGTCTCCTGTCTCCTCGTCCGGGAAGTCAAGGGAGCCAAACCGTTCTCCTCATACCCTACACTGCCACTTAAACAAGACTACAACCTTGGTCTCTCTGTCTTCAACGACGCCGGAACCGGTTTTCGAGCCGAGATTCCTGAGCCCTCTCAAATCGAAGAAGACAGTGTCTCAGGCTCTGAAAAGACCATTGCCGGCGATAAGACAATCTCTGAGGAAGGAACGACATCCGATAATGTTGGTGAGCCAACCCCCTCAGAGCCAGCAGCAGTGGGACGTTCAGTGGCAACCCGACGCCATGTGAGCGAGTACGCTTCAGTGCCCATGGAATCCAGAGAAATCAAGCTTGGGACAGGAGAAACGTTTCCCTAGCAGCAGCGATATTTCTGTCCCCCACGTAAGCAGCCTGATATCTGGAACCGACGAAGGAATCTCCCTCCCAAGTCTTGTTAAGGGTTTTGGAGGAACACATTGAAGTTTGAAGTTGAGCTTGGAGGTTGAACATTGCTGGAAATGGCTAGTATCATGAATTGTCCACCACATCATCTTCTTGTTGGTCTTGGTTTGTTAAACCATGACAAGTATTTGTGGCAATTGCCCTGAGCAGAAGTGCAGCTATGGACACTACTAGGAATCATAAGAACCGGAACTCATTCTCAATTGAAAATTTTGAGCAACATGATTTTCTGTGACTATTGATGACTCTTCCTCCAACTTCTCGTAATGCCAGCCCTCCTCTAGCTGGGTGTGTGTTTGTTTGACTGTGCGCACATCATACAGTTACTGTGATCGTTCCCTCAGATAACCACACACCGTTGATTGGTTGGCATGTGCTAAGGGCCTTCTAGACCTTGAGGATCTATCATCCCTGAGTTAAGAAATGTTTCAATGATGGGGACCAAGAAAGGGGGGATAAAGGTCTGACGTGGTCCAGAGGCTGTGCCTCATGCATGGCTGCCATTATCTTTGTGGAGAACTCATTTTAATCTGGAACTTGCTTCGTATTGCTCTTTCTCTGTATACCATGACCCCGCGCATAGTCGGTGAGTTGTATCAGTCTATTGGTTCCCAAGTCGGCCCTCAACAATGTTTCGGGGGTCAATGGCGAATATGAACCCTGGTAGGAAACAACCACACCAGACGCATGACCGCATCTACTCAAGCAAGGAAAACAGAATGAGAGAGACACGTGAAAGCCCCTCGATTCACCGTGTCTCTCTGCCAACTCCTGCATCTCCTCGGGTTACTCTCGACATCACCGTTACATCATGTTGCCAGCGAGGTAGTGCCGCGACCTGGGGCACCCTTGCTTGCCAACAAAGCTTTGCCAACAAAAGTGGCGTTGCTGAAAGAGGACCGTTCCAGCAATGGCCAAGACATTACGCATGCTGGGAGTTTTGTGGTCATTCTTGCGAGCTCGAGGCGTCAAAGAATCGCTAGCGGCTGATGATGGGGGAGGGGTCCCGGCGGCCCGACCGCACCAGGGGGAGTGTCAACAAGAAAGGACGGCGGTCCAAGAGGTTGCTGGTCGAGAATTCGATGTGAAACCTGGAGCAGCGTTGCGGAGGGTGTCTTGAAGCTTCGATTGGGGGATATCTTGACCGACCCACAGGCTGGCACAGGCCGAGAAACATCGCAAAGACGTTGTGTGTTACACAAAGGCAGGGCAGGGTCCATATCCCTGATGGAGATGGGGTGTCTCTGGTCGGGTATCGGTATAATATGGGGCCCGGTAGCTAGAGGAGAACGAGCTGAGAAGACTGGATCATCGATGGGATTAATGGCGGTGTACTTGCGTTGAGATGATCCCGATCAAGCCAGCTGCTTTCCGTGTGGGAGGGTGGGAGTCACCATGTTGGTTGGGAGGCGGGCTTTACGACTGTTGTCGAGCCCAGGCACGGCTGGGCCAGGTATTTTGGGGAAATTAGGTAGCATTGGATCGACCGATAGACAGAGTGCTATTCACGGAGAGGACAGACACCTACCTAGATCGGAAAGAGAGGCGAAAAGATAGATGGCGGAGGCGGAGAATATCGAGGTGGAGGAGCAAGGATGGTAAGGGGCGGCCTTGGTCCTTGGAAGCTCGTGTGGATCCTCTCGGCTCGAGGCCCTCCCGGTTTTGATGGAGGGAAAGCAGCCTTCTGACTTCAGGTTGGACTTTTGGGAGCCGGTTGGGTCTCGTTGTGTGAGTTCCCTAAGTTCCCGCCCTTCTTGGGACCCTTGCAAGGAATGCCAATATCGCATGGGTGGCTCCCGTGACGGGGATGGCTTTGACCCGTTCTAAGAATACCGTCGGATAGTCTAAGTTGTGGATGACCGGGAGATCGATGATGAGATTGAAGCTTGTGCACAGCGGGGAGACTATCTTGTCCCATGCAAAGAATGCTTCGCGCGATGGGCACACGATGAGGCCGTCTATCCGTTGCATGATCCGGGCTTGTACCCGACAAGCCGATGCAAGCAATGGCCGTTAGCAAGCAGGTCAAACTAAGGCGCAGCCGCTTGCTCGTGACACATGCGCCATGACCGAGGAGCGAACGATCGCTTCGGTGCTGTTCTGGGGCACCTGTTGCGGCCTTGGACTTGGCCGCTCCCAATGAGATGGTGAGGTGCTGAAAAGGGCTGGGCAATAGCTCCTGACGCTACTGCACAACGACCATCAGTCGACGTAATTCCGATACTCGACATGGCCAAGCTGGAAGACTTGGACAGGGGACCACCCACATGCAAAGCAAGCTAATGCATCGGATGGGCAACATTGGGGATGGTATAAGCGCCTCGAAACTTAGTGGCTGCCGTTTACAGTTGACTGCAGCTGGGCAGCTTCTCCACTGGCTCGTGTCGTCAAAGGATCGATTGTAAACCGCCGGAGATGGAGTTAGCTGCAGGTTCATTTCGTGTCAGCGTATTGTTCCATCATTGTGCAGCCTATATTGAGTTGATCCTAACCGTGCCTCAATGGCTCCATAGCGGCACGATGAGATCCCAATGACATCCCAGATCAGCCCGATATGGCGTCGAGAGACAGCCAGTCAGGTATCAGTCAAGGTATCAGATTGCGTATTCCATCCCGGTACATTACATTATTATTCACTTCATCATTCAGGAATTCCGTTAGCCCCATTCTCTGAAGTGCTAGTGTATCTGCCTACCCACACCTGGCCGTTTGCCCAGGCCCCGTGGATGCGCATGTGCGGCTGCCCCATGTCTCTGAAAGTTGACATGTCGATAACACCAGCCAAGCTGCCATCCTGACTGGCCAGACAGCCTGAAACATTGCTTCCCAAGTGCATAAAGCTCGAAACTCAGAAGGCATTGATACGGGGTCACCGCCTCTCCACGAAATACTGCCCTCGCCGTGGGAGGGCTGGTGGAATTCGAGGTATCTACGAACCTGCCCAGTTACATGTTGACCGGTCGTAATGCCTGCCCCCTCGCTTATCACAAGTTCCCACGGCAAGCCCTCGGCAGGATGGAGGGGTGCAGGAAGGCATGAGGCATGTACGTACACCGTCCCGTTGTGCTGGGTGAGCCAACACTGAACAGACGACCATCGTATTTTGATCCCTCAATCCGGCATATACGCTCGCGCCTTGACCGTTTCCCCATTGACCTGCCTCTGCAGCTCTACCGTTGCGCCTGAATCACATTGAACCAACCAACCAACGCCCGTTTCTTTGGTCCACCGCTGCTGGACCAGGTGGCAACCTCTGATTGCCTTCCCATTTGCCCACCTGGACGACACACCCTCCCTGCATGTGGATGCCACATCGCCAACTTGCTTTTTCCTGGCCCAGGGAAGCAGAGACTTGCCTCCGTGCGATCACAGCTTCGACCTCTGGGGCCCCGTCGACCTTCTTAACCTGGCCGATCCGCCCGTGAAATGACGAACACCATCTCGTTCGTGTCCTCCAAGCTCTGAGCTGAGAGCATCCGTCCTCATAAGCCCCCTAAGGCAATCTGACACCTTGAGTCTTCATTAGCACGAAGCTGTGTCCTCTGTCGCTCCCTTCCTCTTCGGCCTAGCCATTTATCGTTTGCCCTTTTCACTCCTTTGCCCGTGATGAGAGGTTCCAGACAAACAAGTGAACTGCTCTCTACAACCGTCGACGGACGCGTTGACTCTGGGTCTGAGGATGGCCCAATCAGGTGTGATATCTGCGGCCGTCATGTGCGCAGCTCTAAAGGCATGTTGAATCATCTCCGCCAGGACGCAAACTGCCGTGAGAAGAGATCAAATGCCGATTCCCCAGCCGGCCATCCCATCATTCTCGAACATCCAGGTGGGTCGACAAACCACCTGGTGATCACCCTCCCAGACAGCCCGCCGCCGCCGGCCATGTCCACGACCAATGCCCAAGAGATGAGCATGGCGCCTAATAATCCTGCCCCTCTGGAGGATCATCATTCTACGAAGCTCAAGGAGGTCCATCAAGGACTCCTAGAGAGTCTAATGCCCAATGACGCACCCCTGAATGCTGGTGATGTGACCTTGCATCAGGGTGCAGACTCCCTGAATCATACCGACCCGTGGTGGCCCGATGTTCAAGATTCATTTGCTGGCTCCGGGGACCCGGCCACGAGCCAAGAATCCATCATGGCTCAATTGATGGCCGTTCCGAGGGCCCCTTCGTCTTTGTTCCAGCAGCAAGTTCCGTTCACAAATGACGTGACTGGACTCATCTGCGCGAGCCCCTGGTCGGTCTCTTGGGCGCAACAGTCATACGTTTCTATGGGGTTTGAGGCACCGCTGGTGCGAGAGCCCATGTTACCCATGGCGCCCATGGCACCACCAACTGATCAAACCTTCCCACCGACACTTGAACCTTTCTCACCAATACCGCATGCACAAGGGTCTGAGGTCCATGGGGAATCCAGCAGTAATGGAGCTGATCTTGATGTGGGCAACCAGCCCTCCTTCAACGTGCCCGTCCCAAGCGGGGATACTGCGCTCTACTTTCTCAGAACCCCCCTGTATGACTTCAACTGCGATCCCTTCTCTATCGCTGGGAGTTTTATGCCTCCTCCTTACGCTTCTCCTCCATGCAACATCTCACAACCATTCTCTCCGGGTGCCACCCTATCTCTGGTTGAGGACGCGTCTGACGGTGCGGGCGATGCCGTGCCTATGAACCCGAGCACCGTGGCCTCTATGAACCCTCTAAATCTCCCACCGGGACAGCTCCCATTGCCTGGTGGCCCTGAGCTGGGGTCTGCGCCAGCCATTCATGTTCCAGAATACTCAGCCGAAACAGCGGCGGCCGCAATGCTTCAGCGGAGCAGGGTGCCCAAACCAAACGCCCCAGCCATCATGCTGCTCATCCAGGAAAACACATGCCCTACCTGCAAGAAAGACAAGCCCCATCCAGGGGAGCGTGATATGAAGTCGCACATCCGCACCGAGTTGCCGTACCGGACCACCGAAGGCCAGGTCATCCTGCTGCGTGGCCGCCACCCCAAACTCCCCCTCGCCTTTACTATTGACGGCCAGGGGTACAAGAACGGCATCTTCTGGTGCCCGTTCTGCATCCACAGGGTCCAGGTGGTGTGCGGAGGGCACCCGAACGACAGCCACGACTCGACCTGCCCGACATGCAGGAGCTTCATGGCTACGGGAATTGCACACCTCGGGAGCCACTTGACAAGGCTCCAGGACCCAAGGCTGTACGTCCCTGGCCACCACGACACATGCCCCGGCGCCGAGCGCGGGTGCAACTGCATCCCGCACTATTGGCGCGTCTAAGTTGGCATCATTTGTTTCCTTTTGTTTATTTTTACGGAGAAACTGAAGAACCAATGGAGTAAAAAACTTGAAACGGACTTAAACGACAAAAATATCCAGCAACACCCCCATATAATTACTTTTCATTACCTTAATTATAGTAGGAATAAAATGGGCAAGCGGTGGATCACAGAGAGCTAGGATACGTTATGTTAGGTAAACACAATAAACCAGTATTTCTATGATATCCGTGTGTGTGTCGTGATGAGCATGTAGTGGTGTTTGAACTGCCAGGATGATAAAGGGCCGCAATTACTTGGTGGTGTAGTGAGATTTCCAGCGATTGGTCGGCATCCATGAACGCTAAACTGGCACAACTGCAGGCTGCCCAAAAAAAAATATCCCGAGTGCAATTGAGATGTTCTCTCCCAAGTGCTGTGAGATGTTGCCTCCTAAGCCCTGTGAGCGAGGAGGTGCTGGGGCATGTTATCCCCGATCAGAGAGCTCTCATCTGATCGAATGCCAAGGTACCCGCAACGGGATCTTGTTGCTTATTGGATGGGCCCGATGGATGTTCTGATGCCTGAGATCTCTGGCCAGTACCCGAAGTGCGCCACGACTGTGCACCGCACAATTGTGTTAAGAGCCATTCATTGGCCCATTGCAGTGGGTACCTACCCAACAGCGAAGCTATCACCGTAACAATCACCCCTCAACAAATATGCATACGTGGTGTGGCCGTGGAAGGACATCATTTTGGGTCCCCTTTTCCTGCACCGAAGAGATAATATTGGATGTTTCCACGCATCATATATTAAACTGTGCATGGAAACCCACAACGATGACTACCTCGGTATGTATGTACAGTAATATTATCACACTACGACGCGGCGACTACGCGTGACGAAATAGCCTTTCTGGCCGCAGCGGGCCTCTCCCGCTGGTCTCCAATCACGTAGAGACAAAAGAGCATGCGTACACGGACCCCGCAAGGTTGCAGGAAGAATGGGAAAACAGACTCGCGAGACCCTCCGGTTCAGGCCGAAGAAGCAAGTCCGAGACGGTAGAGGGGGGGCTCGGTTGGCCAAAAGAAGGGGAAAGATTCCCTGCAATTGCATGATTTACGTATGATGATATGAACGCAACGCGCGCACGACTACGACCCAAACTGATCACGAGTGTTGCTTCCTCGTGGGTGCCAGCCAGTTGGAGGGGGGGGGGGCATGCACCTCTCGCCCAACGAGATGAGCAACGTTTTAGAGGATGCAGGCTTGGCCGCTTTGGATTTCCAAGTTCTCGCTCTCGCAGCAGACCGAAGCGAAGCGAAGCGGGGTAAAGGGACTCGTGAGAAGAGATGGCCTCTGTGCTCTGACCCCCCCAGGGCGGTTTGCCGTGTTCCAATGTTTCAGCGGGCGTGCGAGTGGCTGGCGTAGAACGAGGTCTCGTCCCGTACTGTCTGGACATTGGGAGACGCATCATGGAGCTAAAATTGCCCTCTCCCGCTCTGGGGCAGCCTAGACTCCATCGTGAGCAGGGTGGATTCCACTAGGACTCTTAGTCTTGCGGGAAGTGGTCCCTCCGGCTAGGCCATGCAGCCCAAATTGTGCGGGATACGAGCCGGGATCAGCTTGAGGCCCAGTCCCCGCAAGACGAAGCGGATCTTCCATCCATTTGTTGGGTATGTACATGCGTGTGTAACCTCGTCAACCCCATCCCCTTTTTGATATCCTGGCTAGAGTGAAGAAACAAACAATGATCTCGGAGAGATATGAGCTAGGGTCAAGGTTAGCATATGATTATTTCGCCTACATCTCGTACTGGGTTGAAGAGCCATCGGATGGATGGCATACTGCTGTGAATTAGAGCCAGGCCCCATCACCTCCAGTACTTTTGGCCCTGAACCAATGGTAACAAGGTCTTTGGGCATGCATCGACGGAAAATCCCAAAGGGAATCTCAGGCTGGACAAACTTGTCTAACATTTGAAGGGAAATCATTGGTTTGGAGTTGCGTGGGCTGGTCTAAACTTGAGAGTGGAAGATCGTCAAGTACGGACGAGCATAGCGAGAGTGTAGAATCCTCCCCTTTTTCTGGAAATGGATCTTCTACATAGATCACCGAAGATTTAATGGCAGAAGGTGTGATAAAAATACTGGTTTTTTTTCTTGTTTGTGTCTGTGGGTTTTTTTGTGTTTTAAGTACTGATGATCCAAGTGAATAATGATATCTCCTATCCCTGGCACGAGACCTGGATGCGATTCAGGACAGTGTGAGAGAAGTCATCTGTCACATCACCACGTTCCCGGACAACGTAACCAACAACCTTGAAAAAGAGTGAACCATTGTCTCGCCTCGTGCTCGCTTGAGCTGCCATACATGATAGTGTTCCCAGTGGAACACAAACCTGATAGCCGGGTAGCTAGGACCGACGATGGGTGCTGGCCCAAAGGCATCAAGTGCATCAGACATCCAATATTAGTATCAGGGCGCAGGGCGCATGGGAAGCTCGATGGGGGCGATCAACTCCTCTCCCATATCCGGCGTGTCAGCAAACTCTTGCAGATACTTTAAACCGTCCTCCTCCATCTTGTTCTCCCATTCCTGGGCGCTGGCACACAGCTGACCCCCAGTGTTAAAGCCTTTATAGAGAGCCCACTCATTCCGGAAGGATTGCTTGCGAACGGCAGCTGTGAGGGTGGGTTCATCCGGCAAGGGGCCATCTCTGCGCACCACGAGGTCGGGTCGCCCCACAGGCCACTGGGCGAACCAGTTCTCGGCAACAGGGGTGATGTAATGCGCCGTTCCAGACTCGTCGACGATCTTGAGCTGGGGCACGAAGCAGACTGCACTCATCAGGATACGGAAGGACCGCTGGGTGTCGAGACTGACGACGCGCAAGTTGATGGGAGCGGTCCTGGTAGCACCGATGATCCAGAGGCGCTCACCACGGCAACAAAAGATGGTGGAGAAGATGCTGAGGGCGTGGGCGTCGGTATAGATGCGCTTTGCGGCCCGTATGGACCTTAAGAGGCTCTTGAGAACAGCACGCTCGGCCCTTCGACCGGTCTTGTAACGGATGATCATGTTCTTGCTCAGCTCCTTCTGGGGAGACAGGAAGATGTTCTTCCGTGCATCCTTGAACACCCAGACGGGCGCGCGGCAGTTGTAATCGATCTCACGAACGGGGTACAGGTTCACCATGCTGTTCGTTGGGGTTTGGTTTGGCTTGAGAGACTTGAAGGTAGAAGTGTATAGAAAAGTTGAAGGCTTTGTGGATGTTGAAGACGAGAGAGAGGGAGGGATGCCACGGGGGGAGCGAGCAGGTTTACTACCCTTCTTTACATTCGAGGAAAGAAGAAATGAGCTGCAACCCAACTGGTCAGTCTGGTCGGGCGTCCATGTCTCAAAACCTGCACTTTTGCAATTGATATCGGATGCCGGACTGCCCAACACGCAACATCGCGTATGCATGGCGCTGCACTTACATGGCCATGGCGTCCGGCCGAGGGCTGGAGTGCAGGTGGCTGCAACCTCCACCACCGCCAGTTAGATGCGGTCGGCAGTAGTAGCAGTACATGCTTCATGAAAAGGAGGTCAAAGTAGATATTGACCGACTGCTGCTGCATGCATGCACGCAACGTGGAGCCAGATATCGCCATGGGTGTAAGGCTTTGCTCGGAGAAACCTGAATGCCGCCCTCATTGATCAATGCATGCAACCCCCGTGTGTTTCTGGGGGAGCAATAGCGTCAGTCAGCACCGGCGGCGATCTCTCCCGTTTCCCCGCTGTTTCCTATAACTAGATCGGTTATTGGTGGATGGCAAGAGAGAAAAGAGCGACCAACACCACGAAAGTACAATAATGTTGAGCAGAGCAAGGAAGCAAAGCGGGGGGGACGGCTCGGATGGTGCACTGGGGCGAAGTGCGGCTGTAAGATGTTTCAAATGACGACCCAAGCTGAGGTGTCAATAAGCGGCACAGGACAACAATAGGAAGCCAAGTGTACTGTAAATTTGGAAGTGAGGAAACAATTCCTTAGTCTTGGGATAACAAGCCACCGCGAGAGACCCTGGCGAATGGGGCAACATGAAAAGAGGAGAAGGTGTGCCTAATTATTTTCAGCCATAGGTACCTTCCAGTCCTTACCTATGTGGTGTGAGTAGCAGTTTAGTGCTGGCTCATCACAATAGTCCCCTACTTGCAGTACGCTGCTTTCACGTTGCATTTTGATTTTGGGAATACCTTGAATCTGCATGTGAAATACAGATGGTGGCAGCGCATCTTCAGTGTCACTCTCGAGGTCGATAATGGAGACGGCCCTTCTTTCCTGGACCAATATTGCGTTCGCATGTACTTTTTTGCTTTTCCCGGTGGCTTTCCAACTAAGACCAAAGAGAGCGGGAAGGTACACAGTGCTACTCAACTCTCACTGCACTGAGCGATAGGGCGTGGCATCCTGAATGCATGGATGCGAGCGAGAACCAGTAGGATCGCCCTCGAGTTCCGGACGACTCCGCAAGATCCCAGGACGAATAGGACAATTTTGTACGGGGTGGTGTGGGTCAAGTGTTATCTGCCTCTGCCTCAGCCTATGTCCTCGGTTCTGAGGTAGCATCCATTGATCTGTCTTACTTATTATTAGTTCTGTCTCAGAGCAGGCGTCAAGTGGTGACAGTGATGTAATCTAGGCGGGGTATCACTGTCTGTTGCTAATGTCTGCTGGGTCACTAGTATCGCTGTGCTGTTCAGCTCGCAGCGGCTGAACGGAGCCAATGCAGCATCTCAAACATTGGCCCTATTCTGGGCCTTCTCTTTTGTACCGACGACTTACCCTGCCTGCTACTCCTTCAAACAGAAGCTACCTATTGGTGACCTCATGATAGCGAAAGACGCGTTTACCCACGAGACGCTACTTGTTGGACACCGCTCATGCATCATTAGTTGGAACTTCACCCCCCTAAAAACAAAGTGGCTGGCTGACTTCTATTGATCGTTTCAGCTTCCCTGAGCCTAGACTCGCACGCCTCCAACGGACGGCCCGCCATATCTGTGCACAGCGATTGTCGCAACGGCTCCCACCACAGTGTCTCGGCGCCTTTCAAGCAACGAGCTGCCCTACTTGGCTCTCATGGACCTTGTGACCCGAACATGGATGGAACGGCATTGCATGAGCTGGCAAACTCTGAAGCCATTGATTCTCCGAAGGTTATGTCTTGTGGAAGGACTCCTGCTATTGGGAGCAAAAGTTAATCAATCCCCCGACAGGAAGCCCTGCAGCCGAAACAATTGCATCCGAAAACTCCCATCCGATTACGCTCGACAAACTCAAATCAAGTCCAACAATGATACCCTGCCATTGTCACCCATTCTTTCCAGACACGACCGAAGCTACGCATCCACGACAACGATACCACCCAAGACACTTCCCTGCGACGAGTTGCCTGGCACCACATGTTCTTGCGTTCGTTGCTGTTACCCCGCGACATGGTGACCCAACTTCAGGAGACGCCCGCTCAACCCCCCATTCGACGTGTTCAACAAGGGATTGCCTTACAGTCGCATTCCAGCACACACCGGTGCCGACCCAACGCGAGTGCTACGATCGACGCCGCCCCCGATTGAATAAGTTGGTGCACATGCATCACCCTCCATCACATTACCCTCGCATCATAGCTACTGCAGCATCGGTGTTATTGGCCGGGGGCTAGTGGCCAGCACAGAACACTGGCGACTGGCCTTCGTTTGCGCTACACCACATCCTGCTTGAACGATGCCTGGGTTGCGTTATAGGGGCCTGAAGACACCGTCTATGCTCGGATATTTGTCCGATGACCGAGGCGATACCCCGCTCTGCGTTATCACAATGCCTGCGACGTCGTGTCGAGCAATCGTATCTTTGGTGCATTGCAGCGCAGCAACAAGCCTTATGTATGCGCTCTACGACTCTACATACATTATCACATCACACGGTCTCATGGCCCAATGGCAAGGCGTCTGACTACGAATCAGGAGATTGTGGGTTCGATCCCCACTGAGACCTTCTCTTTTTGCGTTTACAACCTCGACCTCTTGATGGTGTCCCAATTCTTTTTGCGCCTAGCCAACTGAGTTTGGTATTTGCGGTCTATTCCCTTGTGCTCGAGTCACTGTGTTGAGAGTCGGGCCGGTCTGCTCTCTTCCATTGCTTTTTTTTTTAAACTTTATACTCGAACTCTCATCAGGGTCCCCTTTTGCCCCATTCTGCCCCATTCTACTGCCACTCTCTCGGACCGGCCTCTGCCCCCTCCTGAAGTTCTTGCCGCGAGTTTCCCATGTTGCCTCTATGATATCCGCCATCGCATGCCGTCGCAAGGCGGACATTGGGACCTGGCTTGAGCACCCAGATATGTGCATCTCTGTGGTAAAGGCAGATGTTCGGCTATCTGGTCTATGAGGCAACCCCCGCCATTGGCCCCCTGAACTCCCTCTGATCTACTCAAGGAGTTTCTCGGACCAGTTCGTTGTGTTACAGCCCAGGAGAGTCTTTGATGAGCTTGTCATCAATCGGGCCAAGGCCCGGCCTCTTGAGGATGTTCGGGGCGAATGATGTCGCGCTTCATCATCGAAGCTATTGTTAGCCTGATGCGCTTCTTGCCCTGCCAGCGCTGTTGAAATCCAATGGCTGGAATCTATCTCGGAGGTTTCTGTCTGACTGTCAAGTGACCGAGTCGTTTTCTTGAACCATTTCCACCAACCTGTGCTATATCCATGATTCCATCGTCTTCAAGTGAAAGACTGAGGTTGCTAGTTGCGATCGACCTGAATAATCTCCTTCGTATCATCTTCCTGGCTTGTTAGAACTGGCAACATTGCCTATTGTTGTTGCTGTTGGCGACAGTCAAGGGCCACTTGCATCAGTCTTGTCACCTGCATCCAGAAGCCCAAACTCTTCGTCCTTGTCTTGCGCCAGGCACTGATTAGACGAAGGAGTCCTGTAACTCCACCCCTTTCTCGCTGATCTCGTGAGCGTTTCCGTGAAGCCTCTCCCTACATGCTAGGGATGCTTTGGTGCCGCGCGGCATGATTGCGGGATTGTCGCTGAAGTCCACAAGTGAGCTGCTGGTATATCGCACCTGGCCTGTAATCAACCCGTTCTGGATTCCCTCTTCAGAAGATCACCAACCTTTCATGCCGCCAGGGGCTACGACTTAAATTTCCCTCATATACTTTTTTGTGCCTCGTCACGCCACCGGACGCTAGATGGAGAACTGCAAGAGGTGACTCTTGTCTGTTTACGTCTACTGAGAGTTGGAGTAGCGGCCATCATTTTGGCACACTGCTCAGCTCACTAGTCACCATAACAAGTGTATGGGTACCCCGTGCCGCAGTGGCCGTTTGGTGGTTTGAGCTGAAAGCCTACCCAACTCGCTGGTGCAACCCCCGAGTGGCGGTTACCCCTGGAGGCTTTGTGTAGGGGAGGAGTACGGTAACCTTACTCTAAGTGGAGTAAAGAATAAAGTTGAAGCCTCTTGCCTCTCTTGGTTATTTGGCTGTCTGGGATTTGTCCCTAATGTCCGAGATCATCGGGAACACCGTGGCCTTGAAGAACGTTGGCGCCACATTGTGGAACCCAAACAAACAAACGAACAAGGCCTGGGTCAAAGCATTTCAGACTAATAAAGTAAAGGAGGAGTTGGCGTCCCCACCCTGAGACTGAGATTTTGGATGCTCGTGAAGGTGCTAGTCTCTAGCGCTTGATGAGTTGCAACTCTAGCAAAACATTCGAGCTCTAGTAGAGCAGGTATCTGTCTACTCCCATAACATGACGACCCTCAAGCTATATACACACATTGCTAGGAGTATCACGCATGATGGGCATCGTTGTATGTGTTAAGTTCGTCCTTTGTCATTGCACTGCTCTGGGTTACTCTTCGACAAAGGAGGGTTGGATTGAGACAGCCAAAGTCAGCGCTCCCCTTCTTATTCGCTTGCTTCTATGTCGCCTACATTCACACACGTGGCAAATCTGAGAGAATTGTCTATTTTCTGCCCTCCTTCGCCGGATTGGAACACATTCAGTCTACCCTTGGACCCCTTTGGTCTGGATATGCCTTTCACAAGTGTTCTTCGGTGTTGTATGTACCGTTTGCTCCTTTTCAGCTCATCCCTGGATGCATCCCATAATCTTTAGACAGCTGTCTCTTGGGCGTTAAGAATACAAAAGCCATCCTCTTATTCGCTTGCTTTATGGAAAAACATGACGCAATCTCGAGCACAACCCCGATCTGTAGCGTGATGTGGTCAAGAAGCCCCAAGGGCACGTGATGGGTCGTGCCCAGGGAAGGAACGACCTCGGCCCACCGCCGGCATCAAATCGCTGGTAGACTGGCTTAGTCCAAAGACACCTTTTGTAAATGCGAGATCTTTTCTTCCATTCGATCGTTCCTCCATACCAACTCCCGACATTTGTTTCTACCTCCCCGCCAGCCCATCTTATCAAAGCACGCCCCCCCGTCATAGGTAAATTGCCTCGATTGCCTACCGTTTACCAACATGTACGGCGTCGCTCAACACCAACGTCATAGCCAACGAAATCCGCATCGCATCGAGTCGGGTCTTCGGGGCAATGCGCATGAACACCTTCCCTAGGTCGTGCTATGATCACCCATGCTTCGTCCTCTCGCCTAAATTCATACCGACGAGCCGCCGGTAGATATCAGCCGGCCAACAAGAATACAGGCCACTGCTGCCGGTCAAAACGCGCTATACCCGCTCGCTTGTATAATTCTCGAGAATTTGCCGATTTCCATTGGTGGGCTTATTCAACCTTGCTAGCCTCGCGGCATTGCGGGCCAAATGCTACCCTTATAGGGCCTTTTCCCGACAACTTCAAATGCGGAGACAGGGGCAGCTGTTTTTAACCCTTCCCTCGCTTCCTACTGGGTGGCTTATGGAAGGCCTGTCAACCTTATGTTGAGGCCATGCCAATCCAAAGTCCGGCTCTTCGGGTCTTCAGTGCAATGGGCGGTCTGGCAGGGTTCCATAAATATGGCTGCTCGATCCGCATTTGCCTTTGGCAAGATGCTGCCCCTAATAGCTCATTCTCCTCTCGCTTCTTGCAAGGATGAAATTTTCGGCTGTTCGCAATCTACTTGCGTGGGCATCCATTGTCTCTGTGGGTTTCGCACAAGAGTCAGGGGAAGAGAGCGTCAGCTCTTGGCCACTCCACGACAACGGGTTGAATACGGTGGTTCAATGGTGAGCTCCCTTGGGAGGGCTGGGGCCCCAAAGCAACGTTTCTAACACATTTTCCAAGGGATCACTACAGTTACCATGTTAATGGCCAGAGGCTATTCATTTTCTCTGGAGAGGTAAGTTGTATTGTCCCCTTTGGCTTGAGAATATGGGATACTAAATTGCGATAGTTTCATCCTTGGAGATTTCCGGTGTAAGTATCCAGATGGGCACCACAATGGATATGATTTTCCCTTGCACTTTTGGCTCACACAATTTCTGCACCAGGCCAGAGTTATGGCGGGATCTTCTTGAGAAAATAAAAGCCGCTGGGTAGGTTAACCTTTGCCTGTTCCGCCTCCGCTAGCTAATCCGCTCAAGCTTCAATACCTTTTCCATTTACAATTCGTGGGGCTACCACAGCGCCTCTCCCGATGCTCTGGATTTCACGAACGGTGGGCACAACTTCACGTCCATTATGACGTTGGCCAAAGAGCTTGGCATGTACATCATCATTCGCCCAGGGCCGTATGTCAACGCGGAGACGAATGCTGGCGGTTTCCCGCTTTGGCTTACTACCGGAGAGTATGGCTCGTTACGTGACGATGATGAGCGTTATACCAAAGCATGGACCTCGTACTGGCAAGAAATCTCCAAAGTCATCGAGCCACATCTGATAACCAACGGCGGAAATGTCATCATATTCCAGATTGAGAATGAACTGAACGGCCAATGGAAGGACATCGCCAATCGCGTCCTGAACCCTACTATTGCCAATTACATGCAACTTCTCCAGGATAGCGCAAGGGACAACGGAATTGACGTACCTCTTGCGCACAATGCCCCCAACATGAATGGCTACTCTTGGTCGAAGGACTTTTCGAATGAGACTGGAAATGTCGATGTGGTTGGAGTGGACAGCTACCCGTCTTGCTGGAGCTGCAACATCAGCGAATGTACTGGCACAAATGGCCAGTATGTTCCCTACAAGGTTGTCAACTACTATGATTACTTCACCGTCCAGTCTCCGACACAGCCCAACTTCCTCCCCGAGTTTCAAGGCGGATCTTACAACCCCTGGGGAGGTCCCGAAGGCGGTTGCCCTACTGACATCGGCGATGCCTTTGCCAACATGTTTTACAGAAACCTCATCTATCAGCGTGTCACAGCCATCTCCCTGTACATGCTCTTCGGTGGGACAAACTGGGGCCACTCTGCTTGTCCCGTTGTTGCAACAAGCTATGACTATTCCTCACCCGTATCGGAGAATCGCGCTCTTTGGAGCAAGTACTCAGAAACGAAGCTCCTTACTCTCTTCACAAGGGTAGCCCACGACCTGGCTAAAACGGATAGGCTCGCTACCGGAACCAATTATACGACCAACGGGGCGATTACGGTGTCTGAGCTACGAAATCCAGACACCAACGCCGGGTTTTATGTTGTCATGCATGCGGACTCAACTTCCAGTACCACGGAAAGCTTCAAGATTTACATCAACACGTCCGAAGGAAGTCTTACCGTTCCAGAGTTCAGCAAAGATGTGGTTATTGCCGGCCATCAAGCCAAGATCATTGTCACTGATTTCAGTTTCGGTAGCAAGACGCTTCTATATTCGACAGCGGAGATATTGAGCTTCTCTATCATTGACGGCAAAGAGGTTTTGGCTCTCTGGCTACCTGAGGGGGAGTCTGGAGAGTTTACCATTAAGGGGGCGGGATCAATCCAGGGAGCGGATTCGATCAAGGCGTCCAGTGTCGGAACCTCTGCCTTCAAGGAATCGCTGTCTGTTAATCAGGTTGATTTTGGAATTACTGTATCCTGGGTCCAGACCGCTGGTCTTGGTACGCTTGAACTCCCAGATGGAACACACATTTGGCTTCTTGATCGGGAGGCCGCATACCGGTTTTGGGTCCCGGCCCTTGTCAATGATCCCTTCGTCCCGGAGAACGCAACAGGTAAGCTAAGAACTTACTCAACAGACCCTTCTATCGCTTTCCCTGCTTTCTAACAACCTGAAAGTGTTTGTTCAGGGTCCATATCTCGTGCGATCAGCCGACTACGACAGTGGTTCAAAAACCCTCCACCTCACCGGAGATGAAGAGGATGCCCAATCTGCTACAATATTCGCACCTAAGGTGGTGGAAACCATAACCTGGAATGGGGAAGATGTTACCATCGAATCAAAGAGCAACGGCACTTACACTGTGTCCATTAAGGGACCAGCAGAGTTCCAGCTCCCTACTCTTGGTCCTTGGAAGAGCGTAGATAGTTTGCCCGAGGTCAGATCTACTTACGACGCCACTGGAGAGGCCTGGATTGGTAAGCTCTTTCCCCCCCAAAACATGCTCCCGACGTCACGGTATTAACATCAGCTAGTTGCCAACAACACCGAAACGCCTAATCCGACGAAGCCAGCCGACAACAACCCTGTTCTCTACGTTGATGATTACAAAATCCACTACGGCAACCATATTTACCGGGCTACTTTCCCAACGGCAAATGAAGCTCAAACCGGCGTGTCCCTTAGCCTGTTGGGAGGGCTTGCCTTCGGGTATTCTGTCTGGCTCAACTCGGAGTACATTGGGTCTTACTACGGCCTCTCGTACAAGGGTGATAGCACTGATACATTCTCTTTTGACAACGCTACCCTAGCAGACGAGGGCAAAGATAATGTGCTGGTTGTTCTCATGGACCAATCTGGCCATGAGCTGCGCGGTTCTGCTCTCGACCCTCGCGGTATCACCAATGCCACACTCCTTGGGCCCACCAGTAGCGAGTATCAGTTCTCTGAATGGAAGATCGCTGGAAATGCAGGCAGGGAGGAGAATATCGACCCAGTGCGTGGGCCGATGAATGAAGGGGGCCTGTACGCGGAACGAGTTGGCATGCATCTGCCCGGGTTCCCTGGAAAGTGCTGGGTTGATGTCGACAACAGCGCTCTTGTTGTCCCTGCTGCTGGAGTTCGTGCTTTTAGAACAGTCGTGCCTCTTGATGTTCCATCTGGCCTTGACGTCTCCGTCACCTTCCGACTTACATCAACTGGGAACGAAGGCTATGAGCCTAGTGACCTAGGCCATTCCAATCGTCTACGGGCTCTTCTATTCGTCAATGGTTACCAGTACGGGCGATTCAGCCCTTATATTGGTAACCAAATCGACTTCCCTGTTCCACCAGGCGTTCTTAATTACAAGGGAGACAACACAATACTTGTCACGGTGTGGAGTCAATCCGCGGAAGGGGTGGAGATGAAGATTGACTGGAAGCTGGACTATGTTCACTCAACGAGTTTCAATTTTGCCTTTGATAGTGACTATCTTAGGCCCGAGTGGACTGAGGATAGAAGAAGGTACAAATAGTTTCGCCCTCGGCGACTAGTAATGAGGCATCCCAAGAAAGATAAGAAAAGCAAAGCAATTGCATCTACGTGTTACTCGTCTCCCGACTCCATCCATGGAGTTAAACATGACATCTCGTGATATATAACCGTGGGGAGGTTTTGGATCCTTATTTAAATCCTGGATGGAACACGACTCCCAGATAGATCCAAAGGAGCTCTAGGAGGTTTGGGGCCGGAACCTGATCAAGGTGGCCGTCTCCCTCATCTTCACGGGGCTGGTCGCGGCCGGGCATCGTGTTGCTCGCGAAAGAGGTTTCGGGGAGAGTTGCTGTTGTCGAGGGCACTGGATTTCTCGCGAACACTCGGCACTTTAGTACCTCACTAGATGCTGTGACACAGAAAAACAATTGTTAGCTCCAGATCCTGATGCCGTGTTGCCGCTAGGAACAAATCACGCTGTATTCTGTATGACTTTTGACAACTGACACGAAATAAAGGGAGAACTATACCTGCGCAGTAGTGTTGACCGGAGTAGCTCCAAAAGGTTGTAGTAAAAAAGTCTTGCTCACGATAGAAGGAGTTGGAGATCCAAGTCTGACGAAAGTTGTATGTTTGACGAGGAATAGATGGAGGTCTGAATGTTGTGTGGTTGGAAGAGGAAAGTAAGAAGACGCCAGATGTGAATGAAGAAGAGGTGAGAAACTGAGGGGGAGAGGCCCGGGCGTCTCAGCAGTTACCTCCCCAAGTTTCTACCTTAGTACCTTCTCAGGTATTCGCTCTGGTTGAAGAGGTAGGGAAGTACCTAGGGGCGGGACAGAACCTCTACGTTACACGCCGCGAGGTAGTAGTATCATTGTTCAAAAGCTGCACACTTAGTTCTGTATTACACCTTGAATCTAATTTCTCTGTAATGGTCTGAAAATTTTGGATTCTCAAAGGCTTGGCTCAGACCATCGAGCGAGTTGTTCCCAATCTTGCACCCACGGGCCGTGTGCCGAGGGTCCAGCAGCTCTTTCCATTTCTCCTCTATAGTTACTGCTACACCTTGCATGTTGCGCCCTTAATGAAAGAATGCTGGCCAGCTCTCTTGTGCTGCACATGGCTGCTGAACAGCCAAATAAAGTCTAACATTGTTCAGGTATGGAATTCACCATTGGAAGAAACAAGAAATCAAATTTCGAGACATTTCTTGATAGTCCAAGCACGCAAGAAAGTACACATGGCTTCGGGTAGGTAGCCGTGCCTCTTTCGTCCTTCCTGACGCTCGACTTCTTTCCCTTCGTCCCTTGATCTTGCCAAGACAACACATTCAACCACTGCACCTTCCCTTTTGATTGACGAGTATGAGTCGAATTGGATGTGGTCGGGTAGGCACCCGCGTCTCTCTTTCCCGACTCACAGCGTCTCGTTGTTTGGTCTACCTATATAAGTGAGCGAAGGTCTTGAGCGAAGGTCTTGAGCGAAGGTCTTGAGCGAAGGTCTTGAGCGAAGGTCTTGAGCGAAGGTCTTGAGCGAAACCAATATATAGAGCACACTTTGAATTTCCGATGCATAGCACATTCTGGATGCTGATGTGCCACGAATGTTCATCTTACCCTCCATCATGACGCAGACACTCCGGGACACGACCCGACTCTCGCCTGCTGGTGAGCCCCTCTGATTGCGTTCCATTGATCTTCGCCCCTTTAATGTTCCCCTCTCAGCGTCCGGGTTCACTGAACAGCAATTGATACATCCAACACCTTTTGTGCGAGTCAAAGAAAGCTGCAAATGATCCGAGAGACAGCTCAGCGTAACCCCAGGAGACAGAAAAATCGGGATTCTCCTGTGATTGCTGGACAAATTTGTGGCCAAGACTAAAACTTGGCATTTACAGGAAGAATCCCTTGTTTCAATTTGTTTTCTGCATGGCCTACAATCTCCACCATTCTAGGAATCTAGTATTGGCCATGGCTTCATGTCTCTTTGCCTTTGATACTTAAATGCTCTCACGAAATATCACCGTGTTCAGCAGTCGCTTCCGGTATGCAAAGCGTCATGGTCTGTGCTGCAATTTACGCCGCCTGCCTGGACAGTGTGGTTGGCTTCGCCCAAAACCCAACTACGAGCACTTACCCTACATCACGGCTCATCTACGCATCTGCGACGATCAATGCTCACGCCCCCTCCTCTATATGCCAAGACACGTCTCCATTTAGACTCTAGAGTATCCTCTGGATGTGTCTTATTGGAATAGGATGGAAATTGAGCGACCAACCCACACTTTAGTGCTGTTTCGACCGAGGCGGAAATACGCACACAATAAGTGGCCACGATCAATTGGAGGCACATTCAGTCGACAGCAACAGCCCTTCGACACGAGAGTGGGAAGAGTTCAATATACGATGCATCAGTGACAAGTGACAGAATAAAGGCATGAGGTAGAGTCTACGAGTTTAGAAGACACGTGGCGCAAGGGGTGAGGGAGATTGCATGGTCCACACGCAAGTACATAGGTTTTAATGAAGCGAAGTATGAGTAGTTGGCAAGATTAATAGTATGAAGCATAACCGGTAGACATTAATAGAATGGAAAGACTGATGGCCTGAAAACATTTATTACAAGAAAAGACTAATAGCAAGAAACACCAATGAAATGGAAGGGATGAAAGGAAACAAGTGGTAAAGACAGATTGACTGCAGGAAGGCTGAATGTGGAAACAAAGACGGGTAGAGAGGAAACCCTTAATAAAGACCGACAGTACTAAGGAAGAACAGGAATCAAGGCTGATTGTACAAAGAAAGGACTGTAAGAAAGACGAACTGTGGAAAGAAACGGGAGGGTATACATCCTGATGCCAGACGCCGGGATCAAGGTGCCATCCCTTTCCTGGATCACCTGAACCAACTCTCAAGCCCGGGGTCGACAAACTCAAAGAGCTTATGCTACACTTCCTCGGAGCATGCATGGAACAAACGCTCGCGCACTCTTGTGCGCAAGATTCTGTCCGCACGAGCGAGTGTAATCCGCCGACTGGTGCTAGAGGAGATCTGAACGTCGTGAGAAGGTAGCTATGATCAAGCAAAGTAGATTGACTTACACGCTGCAATGGGTTCCGAGAGAGATGTTCCAAGATAGGGTTATTGGTGGTTGCAAAGTTGATGACCCGGGTTTGGAGGGGCTGCGGGCCATCCTCCGCTCGAGCCTCCTCCCTCCATCGACGCTGGACCCGAGCGACCATTCTTTGAATGGAACAGCTGAGATGTATTGTCGAGTATATTGGAGTGATCTTGGGAGGCATTAGCAGGCGTAGACGGACAGGATGGGGCGCCTTGGGCTCAGACCTGTTGCTCGAATTCTCGCAACTCGCCAAGGGTCTCGGGAAACCCGTCGATGAGAATACCTGGGCCATACATCCGACGGATCTTGTGTTTGAGTAGGCTGATGGAGAAGGACATCGGCATCGAGGAACCCTGGCTGCGAGAGGTGTTGATGAAGCTACGGTGGGCTGAGCTGGGGCTGTGGGCCTCCTCCTCAATTAGCGCAGCCAGTGAGATATGTTTAAAGCCGTGGGCCGCCGCCATCTGCTCGCAAACAAAGGTTTTCCCGGAACCTGGGCCGCCTATGAATAAGGTTAGAGTAGGGAAACATTATCTGGGTTGAAGGGGTTGAAAGGGAGGGGTTATCGGTTTAGCATACCAAAGACGAAGAAGATGGGCCCTGAGTTGTGGATTTCCTTGACGACAATCCGGGCTTTGAGGATGGAGTCGGCCATCACTTGAAACCATTCGCTGTCGATGGCGAGGCGAAGCCGCTCGATGTAGGGGAAGGGGAAGATCCTTTGGGCTCTCTTCTCGTGCGTGAAGGCTCGGTGGAAGCGTGCGAGGTCTGCAATCTCGCGGGAAAACTTGGCAAGGCATGTCTCGTTGGCACCATACTCTTTCCAAAGATTGAAGAGGGCTTGGGCCAACGCGGGATTCGTAGATTTGAGACGGGTTTCGAGGTAGGCGATGATCTCTCTCTCTCCCCAGTCCTTTTTGTCTAAGAAGAGGGTTAGTTGGTGGACTGGAAATCGGGACTGGGACACGTTCCTTGGGGAATTGTTTCGTTACTGGCTATGACCTGGTCGAGGTCGTGGATCATGGACATCATGACGGCCTTGTTCACGTCCCTGTCTTCAATCTACACACCTGTTAGCCATGCCAAACCAAAGAGGGCAACACTCAAGCTAGGGTGCATGTAGCAGAGCCTTGCCATCAAATCTGCGTGGATCTGGAGGAGCTCTGGGGGAGGCACCTGGTGTCGGTGTTGGGTAGCTCCTCTGATGTACCGGGTCTTGTGGCGAGCCTCTGGGAAAGGCAGAGGCACCGCAAGGCACGGCATGCTGGAGAGAACTCTCTGCAGCGTGCTAGACGGCAAACAGGAGTGCTGTGAAGAGGAAGAAGAAGCAGTGGCAGCCTGGAGAGTGAAGGAGAATGATTCTTACGTCAAAGGAAGACCCCGCACCGGATGAAAGTTGAACCGCAATATGTCAAGGCTGGCATCGGAACAAGTTGAAATACCAAGGCCCAAGCGTGGGGACGAGCTGTGAGATATCTTGAGATACTCTGGTCCAATTGGCTGTAGGGCGGTTGAGTGCATGGACTAGAGGTTCAGCTGATGCGAGGTTACATAACCAAACCTCTTCATAATCGTCTGTCTGACCAGAAGTGCAGTTTCTGAAATGGCGCTTGTGGTGGCACAGGGACACGGGACCGGCTGTGCTGATGCACTTTCGTCGAGAGCTATTTGGGTGAGAACTTGAACTATCAAACACAGCTATTGATGCGTGGGCATCTGATTGGACGCCTGCCTGTGGGCAGATCGGCGCACTGCACTAGGGCCTACAGGGGCATCGGCGGTAACTTATGGAGACTGCCCTGGAATTCATACCACCAGCCTGGCTTCCGAAACGCTTGGGAACGGGTCGGCCAGGGCTCTAATGCTCTGAAGGCATTAGTGGCCGCAGTTGGTGGGTGCTTGGGCTGCATTGGGCAATGCTTAGTGCTCGTCCTCTGTGCTATCGATAAGTAACCGCTCTGAGCGGAGGGGCATTCTGCTGGTCAAGGAAGGCGAAGGCCAGAAACCAACCCAAACTTTGGCCAGAAGACTAGATGCCCTTGTTCGTCTCATGCTACTACTTCACCTCGAATGCTCAGGCACTCAGACAATCATCCTAGAAATCTCTATTCATGCACTGAACCGACCCGGAGAGAACATCCACAAGGAACAAACGGCCTCATTTTTTCTGTAGCACCAGTACGTACTTCATCCCAGACACCCACACACCCAGACATGCACCAGAAATCCACTGACATGCAACATCAAGCTCGCAAGAAACCAACAAGCATGCCGCCCCTGGTCAGACTTCGCCGGGCCACAGCGCAAGATCTGCCGCAGCTGCTGGATGTCGAAACATCGGCGTTGGCGGACGACAAACTCACCGGTCGCTGCTTTCCAGATGACACAAGTCCTGCCGCAGTCCAGACCCGGTTGGCTGCATACCGCAGAGTCCTGCACGAAATCACCGTGGCCGTACTAACGGACGATCAAGGCCATAGCACTGGTAGAATCCTCGGTTGGACCCGTTGGGTGCGTCGCCCAGCCCCCACAGCACCATCCCGATCATCCATGCAGCGACCCCTGCGACGTGCCGTCGTCAACCCTGGCCACTTCCCAGCCAAAGGCGACCAGCTATTCGCAGCCGGCTACTTCCAGGCAAACATGGACAACAAGACAGAGGTTGTCGGCCAGCAGAGCCACTGGTTCCTCAGCACCTTGGTCGTGCGCCGCGAGGAGCAGGGGCGAGGGGTGGGGGGTATGTTGATCAGCGTGGGCACTGAAGCTGCCGACAAGGAGGGGTGGCCAGCCTACCTCAACTCCTCATCGGTCGGCAAACGGCTCTACGAGCAGCACGGGTTCAAGACAGTGCGCATTAGCTGGTTCACGGAGGAAATCGTCTCCTACCACATGCTGCGCAAGGCCGTGTCTGGACGGTGCGAGCACAAGCATGGGAAGCACGGCGGCAAGTAAGGCAACGGTAATTAGGTACTACATAGCACTGCACCAACGCAGGAGTCAGGACGTAGCACAGTCCAGGTACTGTCCAGGGACGGGCGCAGGGAAGCACGCAAACCCCCGTTGGACTGGGTGTGACGAGGCAAGGATGACGGCCGCAACAATAGGCAGACGTACAGGACAATAACGAGTCGTGCTTTCAATTGCTTCTCACCCTTGATACGTGACCCCTCTGCGCCTAACCGGCAGATTGCCTGCCGATGCCGTAAAAAACCTTGACCGTCGTGGCGGGAACTTACATGGCCCAATTTGCTGCAGCAGCTGCCCGAGACGCTCGCTCCTTCCTCCTCTCCTCCTCTCCTCTTCTCGGTGCATACAGTGTGCACGTGTATCGTTTCGGTTTCTTGTGCTGTGTTGCACGACGGCCGTCTCGCTGCTTTTCCACCCACTCACCTGCTCAGCGGCCCATCCTTCTGCCTTTTCTTCCGCCTCTTCCTCCCAATCGTTTTTTCCCCTCGACACACACAAACCATCCATCCATCCATCACCCATCTCTGTGCCTCTCGTCGTGTTGGCCTGGGAGCAACTATTTGCGTCGCCATCGCGGCTTACATTGAAGTATGGCTCCCCCATCACCACCGGAAGAGTCCCAAAGTGCTAACCAAGTGTCTGACAAGAGAGAAGACATCACATCATCAGCCAGTGCGGGGTCCTCAGGTCGTCAGACGGCCTCTTCCGCCATCATGGACGTCGAGGCCACCATCGAGTCGGTTCCCTACGACATCATGCTGGTGATTGCCGAGCTGTGCACGAGGGATGTCCAACCACTGGCTGACGGCCCGCCATCCTCGTACGCCCGTCACCACGCTGCCATGGCTCGCACAAGCAAGTATTTCCATGGCATCCTCAATCGCGCGCTTTACATGCGCAATATCAGAAAAGAGCCGCCCGTTAATTCCTGCGTCCTCTGGGCCGCTCGCAAGGGCAGCCTGGGCACCATCCAGCGCGCCCACGAGTATGGCGCCGACCTTGACGCAACCGGCGCACGAGACGAGGACGACTACGACCAGACCTGGCAGTCCATCCCAGGAAGTATCAACTACTTTGCCTCTCCACTGCACCTGGCCATCAAGAACGACCACCCCGCCATCGTCCAATACCTGCTCTTCAACGGAGTCGACGTGCATTCGCAAGCCCGGGACTTTTGTGGCTGCCAGGAACCTCCGTTCTCGGGCAAATGCTACCCGCTGCATATTGCTCTCGCGCATGCCGATGAGGAGGGCTCCGGCACCGACTACGCCGGCCAGCTCGTGCAGCACGGTGCCCACAAGATCGCCGACGACATCCCGGCCTTGGCTGATCTCGCACGCGCCGGCCGCTTCAGCCTTGTTGATTCCTTGATTAAGCGTGAGGACGACTTCTCCGTCACTGCTGCCCTCCATTATGCCGTCTCGAAACATGACCTTGGCCTCGTCGACAAGCTGCTCGCTCGAGATGGCGTCAACGCCGGCGCAAAGAACTGGAAGCGATACGGCCCTCTCCACATCGCCATCTCAGAAGCGACCGATGATCTCTCAATCATCAACCGTCTGCTTCAGCGACCTGAAGTCAACGCCTCAGATGTGACCCCCGGATGGGAAACACCCTTTCACATCGCGGCATCGAAGGGTCGGAGTGACATCGCAAAGGTCTTGCTCGAGCGATCCGACGTGAGCCCCGTCGCAAAGACTCTCGCCGGTCTCAACGCGTTGCACCTCGCTGCCCAATCTGGCCGCAAGGACATGGTTGACGTCTTGCTTGCTATCCCTGACTTCCCAGTGGGTATTGTTGACGATCAGGGCATGAACGCTCTGCACCATGTTTGCCGCACTCAGGAGACTGAGGAGGTGGGAGCCATTCTTGAGTCGCTGATTAGCCACCCGGACATCCATATCGACCTCATGTCCGGCTTTGGCACACCACTCTTCATGGCCGTCAAGAACAGGAACTTTGCGGTCGCTGCCGCTCTTGTCCGAGCAGGAAGCAACATCAATCCCCCATCTCCCGAGCAAGCACTCACTACCCCTGCATCTCTTCTCCACGAATGTCTCCTGGGTTATTCGAAAGGTCAGGCCGAGCTCGTTCACGAACTCATCCAACACGGCGCAGATGTCAATCTGATGACCCCGTTCCATGGAAAGGACGCGACGCCTTTGTTCTTCGCCGCCGCTTTTGCAAACAATGTGGAGGCAGTCAGGATGCTGCTTGAGGCAGGCGCCAACATTCACTGCCTCGTCCGGGATCTCTGGGTCCCATTCGAGAGCTGCATGACACTCATCACCGCCATCCTCGAGACCTTCTTTGACCGCTGCCACCCGGGACACCTTAGGAAGGAGTCCATCGGCGCTCTCACCGCCTGCCTGGAACTGCTCCTCGAGTATGGCGCCGTCTTGGGCCTCCCGTCGCGCCCATCAGAGGATAACTTCCACTCTGCCCTCCACTGCGCCATGCAGATGACGGCAGCCGGGTTCCAGGACATCCTAGACGTCCTTCTGAAGCACTCCGAGGCTAGAAACATTAGCGAGGACTACCTCGACGACTTCATCACCGGCCAGATTGACATGTCACGGCAGGGGCTCATCCCGCGCGCTTCGCTGGAGAAGCTGATGAGCTTCAGAACCCGCATCTTCCCGCGCAAGAGGTCCCAAAGCTGGAACGACTCGAGCTACGCTGACCTGCTCATCAGCAACTCGCTTCATTACGACTTCTGAGGATGCCGTGGCATGCACGCTCTGGGCTCTCACGTTTGCAATTCCCCCCCTCCTTCTTTGCAATTCATGATTGGCACAGACTTTGTCGTTTGTCAGCTGGAATGTCTCAAACTTTGCGGGCTGCTTTATGGGCCACAATGATGCCTACCATCTGTGGTCCGTCAGGGTCACAATCACGTGCTCACTCTTTGCAAACATTTCACGGATTACACACGATCATTTCTTAAAAATACTTCAATTGATGTTTCCCTAGGTCGCGTATCGCGCTGCATTGCCTGCCCAGGAGCAAGGCAAAGAATGAAAGGGCCCAAAAGTTACCTGCTGATCCATTGTTTCTCTTCTTCTGTCCCCGTCGCGTGCCTGAGCTCGAGTTTGGGCTAAACCACTATCCCGCCCGCACCCTCGCCCTTAGAGACCTTGCCCTTTTCATATGTCCTGCGCATCCAACCCCCAGGGACGGCAGGGTCCTTGAGCCACTCCCATGTCGGGTAGTAATGCTCATTCTTCTTCATGGTGATGACAAAGGGAATGTCATGCCAGGAAACGGCGCGGATCTGGAAGTCTGTTTTGTTTTCAATGTCGTTAGAAAATTCACAATGAGGTAGCAAAAAAAAATTCAATCGGGGATCAGCAGAAGCAAATGACTACTACATCAAGGCAGTGAACTCACATGTGTTGTCGGGGATCGCATTGACTACTTCAAGGATCTTCTCAAGGGAGGGAACCTCCTCATCGTTGATGTGGGTGATGAAGTTGGCTGTCTGCATGCCGTAGAAGCAAGACGGAGATCCGTAATACTTAGTTGAAACGAAGATCTCACTTGGCACCCGTCTGATGACCTGCCTGACAGCCAGCTGCGGCTTCTGGACCATCATGCCGCAGAAGCTGACGAAGTGGCTGGTCTCCAGGTCGTCAGCGGCAAGAGTGTTGAGCCGGAAGCTCATAAACTCGCCGTTTCTGACAACCTCCACGTCGATTTCGTCATGCCAGTGTGTCATGTCGAGCTGACCGGACTGCGTGATCAATTCACCGTTCATGGTGAGCAGGATGTCCGCCTCCTCGATGCGCGGATCTCCGTCGCCAAACACTCTCTTGGCGCTGAACAGCTGGTGGGGGCCCGTTGATGCCTCGACCCTGTCAATCCACTCGGAGGTCACGCCGTAGACGCGAGCCTGGAACATGTTGAGGACCTCAAACTCAGCGGGGATGACGCGGAGAGAGGGAATCTGGCCCCCACGGATGAGGTCAATCACCGGCGTGATGAGGTCCGCGCCAAGGCCATAAGCGTAAAACCCGGTATCCATATCCCAGGTCAGCCACACTGCCTGGACCTCGCCCTTGTCTGAGAGCAGGACGCCACTGGTGGAGGATTTGCTGAGGCGGGATTCGACACCAATAAAGTCGACATTGACGGGCCTGTAGCGGGGACTCTTAGTCGGATGGAGTGAGGAAAGGTGTCTTCTAGTCACCATAGTCGACGAATACACCATCTTGCCGCTCTCAGAATGGCCTACAAAGTAGGTGGAATGGCCTTGAGTAATCTTCTCGTTGCTGAAGACAGCACTGAGAACAGGCGCATCCACGAGCTTGGCGTCGTACTGGACAACCGAGTAATTATATGAGGGGTGAAGGAAGAGCACCTTGCCCTCAATCATGATGGACTGTGCCACGACAATCTCCAAGTCGCACATGATGTGCGGAACCAAGGACCGGGGAACCAAGACAAGGCCCTGGCAGGCATCAATCACCAAACCCATGCCTATGCTTCTATGGCCGACGACAGCATCGACGTAGAAGGGCAGAATTGATGTAACTTGAACCCACGTTCGCGCCATATCGGCAATGAAGTCGTTGGGCGCATACTCTAGCTGGGGGAAAGATGCTGTGCAAGGCACGGGAGGCTGTGGTGGGAGAGCATCCGCAATGGTCTCAAAGTCCCATATACCTGTTTTATCATTGCGGGTGACCATCTTCATCTTGGCTGCCCAGTGTCTGTTGACCGTGATGACCTTATGTCGCAGTCTGTTGAGATCGCCCAGGTCCCGGTATGCGATGGGCACCCGGGCTCGGTCAGGAATCTCCTTCATAACAGAGACAAATGTATCCAAGTCAGGTGTCAGCTTGTTGGCCACGCGCTCCATAATCCAGCCATTTCTACCGCTTAAATCGATGAGCCCGGTCTCGCTGACGTAGACGCCCTTACATCGGATCACGTATCTGTGTGCCATCAGGTGCGACAGGTCGTGGAAACATCCTCCGGCGACGGAGAGGAAGCGGGTGGGTGCCATCTTCTCCAAGTCATCGACGACAATCTCCTCTTGCACGTCTCTTCCAGCACGCAGCACGTGGAACTTGACCACCTTGCCAACGTTGTCGTTGAGCGTGGTGTCAAGCACGAGGAAATCCACCACGAGGGTGCCGTTAATCTTGAGAAGTATGTCACCCGCTTTGAGCTTTCCATCTGCGGGGCCTTCAGGCAGCGCGTCTCGTACAAAGAGCATGCTCGTCTGCTTGGGGAACTGCTCTCGCACATGGGATTCCCAATCTGCAGTCAGTCCCAAGCGGCGACATTCGTCAAATGTCTGGAGCCTGAAGCAGGTCTGGATATCGCCTCTTGTGGGGATCTTTCCAGCTTGGAGTTCGCCCAGAGCACGCAGGGGCTCGTGAAGGGGCAAGAAGTAGTCTGTCGAGGCGCCGTCGGAGCGACTGCCTGCCTGCAGAGCAAGGACATGGCCGTTGATGTTGACAACGGGACTACCAGAGCTTCCGCCGCATGCTGCCGCATTTGACTGGTAGTAGGCAGTGTTGAAGTCTCTGTAGGAACCTGAGTAGCTGGGGGCGTTGCGATCGGTGCGGCTGATGAAGCCAGAGAGAATCCCGAGGGTTTCGCCTCCGTCGTTGCCAATGACCTTGATCTCAGCACCAACTACGCACACGAGGGGTGTTATTTACTGTTGCTCTGTGGAGATGTTCAGTGTGGCAACGCACCTTTGGCCAGTTCAGGGTGGAGGTCCAGAGCTGCCAGCTTCATGTGCTTGACCGTCTTGGGATCAAAACGCAAAATCCCAAAATCATGGATGGGGTCGCGATACAAGGGAACAACGTCTGCCTCTTCGCGATTGTTGAAAATGATGTGACCCCAGAAGGGTCCGGAGCCCACGATGTGGCGATTGGTCAGGACATATCTGTGTTTTGTGCCGTGTTAGCATCAACAATGCAAGTCGCTGCATATTGGCATACGCAGTGCAGAGCTGTAGATGGCAGACTTACCCTCGTTCGGCGTCGACGATGAAGCCAGTGGCCTGGCTCGTGTGGGTGGTATCCGTGTCAAAGGACAGGGGCCGAGTGTAATGGATGGAGACTACGCTGTCGGCGACCTTGGAAATGGTCTTTTGCCAGTCGGCGTCTCGGCCATGCCCTCGATCGAAAGTCAGATCGGAGTCATCCTCGGAGGAGGAGCTCTCGGACGAGGTTCGACCGAAGACAATTTTCCTCGCCCCTGGAGGCAGAAGAGGCCGACGCGCTTCCTGCTCTGCTGGAGGCGAGGCAGGGGCTGTCTCCGGGGGAGTCACCTCGGCACCGTTGACCATCATGATGCTGGATCAGGACTTTGGTGGTGAGGAGTGGGCTGTAGGTGTGAAGCGATGGTAAGAATAAAGGGCCAGAGCAGTCGGCTTTAACTGGCAGAATGCCCAGCTTGTACTCAGCCCCAGAGTAAGCCGGACGATTTCTGCCTTACGGGCCTCGATGAATGGCCGGTGTACGCGCACAAGAAAAAAAGCAAAACCTGCAGTGTGTTGGACAAATGGAGGGCGAAGTTGAGAACTGAGGAGAGAACAAGCTGACGCCGGACGTCGTTTTGGGAAATTTGAGCGAACGTGCAGGAGAAAAGAGGAAAGAAGGACCAAGCGTGCCTGAGCTGAAGCAGTCCTTGCTTATTCCAGGCCACACCTTACTCCTCTCCTGAGGCACGTATTCCAGCAGGTCAGTCGGTGGCACTGTGACCAGTCGGTTGACTGTTGGTGCCAGCCGTCCAGCCTTCCGTGCATCAATGCATTTCAGCCTATGTGATGCCCCCTGGCAGCCCAGCCATCTCACCTGCAAGGTCAGATGAGAGATTGCTCGGTCCCCCGATGAAAGTGCACTTGCATCTGGCTGGCCAGATTCAGCCCAGCTGAGGGGTGGGTGGTTCCACTCTGCCGCCTCAGACCCAACAGTCACTTCGCTATTGTCCACGGTGCGGCCACAGCTATTGTCTTGCAGGGGATTGGCTGATTGTGACTCCTCTTAAGGCGTCGATTCCTGGGGCTGAACTGCTGAAACCCAGATGCCTTTTGCCCCACGCTGCTCATCACTTTCCAGAGGGGTTCGAGCACCAAACTTACATCAGGGATCACCGAGAGAGAGTCAGCCGATAACGCAGGCTTACTACGGTCACATTTCCTTCCTTTTTCAGGAAATGAGCTACGACACAGCATAGAAGGGCGTCACCGTAATATCATTTATCATTGGCCACAATTCTCAATCATTGCTAGGACAAGTGCACGGCGTACCGGTCCATGGAAGGTCGAGACTGAACGCAGCCAGCCAGCCCAAAGCTTCGGTAAGACTATTGAATAATGCGCAAATATTCGCCTCCGCCATGGAATGCAGCAAACCAGTCACATCTCAGTCGGAGCTGGTCCTTGCCTTGGCGGTAGGCAGCAGTGTTGGACAGGGAGCGAGCAAATTAGCTCCGTGGCACACATTGCCAGCCTTTCTGCCAGCCTTACTGAAAATGAAAGTCACGGTCACAGAGCATTTGCAATTGAATGCTCATGATCCCACAGAGATTACTGTTACTACTACTTGGAGCTAGGGAGGACAATCTGTTGTAATCATTCCAGAAGGGAATCCGTCCGGTCGTGAGGACAAGAAATAGCAGTGATTGAAGTACAATGACAGAGTCTGTAGAAGAGAACAGCTTCCACAGAATGATAATTTGACACTCTGGTTTTCTCCTCCTCTCCCTGATTTCCCCTGCCTCCTTCATACAAACCGCGAGAACCAGTCGCGTGTGTCCCTAGCCCATGGTGCTATTTCCATGCCAAGAGGCGCGCAAAAAGCAGGATCGTTCATCCATGAATTCTCCATCCATTTCTGCCATTCGGCATAATCACTGAAGTAGGGCTCCGGTACCAAGCAGCTCCATTCTACGGGGTAATGGCGCCAATGATGGTATATCGGGTTGATTGGTCGGTCTTCTGTTGGAGCATCAATGCAACAATGTAGCCTCCGTGTAGCGACTGCGTGCTCAAAGTCGATGATCACCACTTTACCAGCAGTGGGGTATGCTGTCATGTCTCTCGCGGTAGAAGAGGATCCACGCAGTATCACGTTCCTCGGGAATGGATCGCGGTGGGAAACGCCGGCAAATTCGAGGAAGGCCTTCGCTCTGAATATGTCGTTCAGAACGTGGAGCCGCGCTTGAGTCGAAAGAAGCAACTCCACCTTCACCTTGAAAATCTCATCAAAGTCAAGTCCCTCAACATACTCCATTAAAATCATCCTGACTGGCCGTGTATTGGGACATGGAGCAGCCCTTGGGCTAGAATCCTTGATTATCGGCAGGTTGAAGGTCCATGAACCATGGTATCTTGGACTGAACTGGCCATCGTATCCGAACCGCTTGATGTCCTCGTATGCGGCTGCCTCAGTACTGTATGAGGCGTCGGCGGCCCATGTGACATCGAACGGGTATTCATTACTGAAAGCCGGGTCATATGCCTTAGCCATATAGACTCTCCCTTCATCTCCGTCCAACTGGCACTTAAAGACCTGAGAGCGCCTGTAGTATCCCCCAGAGATGACCTCCAAAATCATGAGTGAATGTTGCTGTGCGCCCTGTTTCGGCCGAGTTTCAATCTGCGGCCACTTTAAGCACCACCCCAACTGACCTGACGCCTTGACATCTTCTCCGTCTGCTGGCTTTCGGTACCAGGACGGTTCATAGTAATCTGGCCTGAATGGTACTGGTGGAACGTGTTCGGTGATGGCTAGAACGGCGCCGCGACGATATATCCTGTGTATGACTCCAGGAGATATATGATGGACGGTTATTGTCGGCGCGGCCATTTCGTTTCCGCCAAGTGGGAAATTGTTACTCTCAATAAAGTTGGGTTCTGGTGTTTAATCCCCAGCAACGATGTGATTCCTGATGAATCCCCGGGGTTGGAGGATTAGTAACGCAAAGGGGAATACCTGAATATGAAATGTTGCTCAGAAGGATGCGAGTTAGTCTCTTTAATGAAGCAATGCTGGGGAGCGCGTCTGGGTAGTGGATAGTTGGAAGAGTGTAGATTGATGTGTTGGTGTAGCTGGAAGAAAGACGCGCCTACATGTGCGCGTTTACCTCGTTGATTAGAGGACTCCCGGGCGGTTTTCACCTCGCAGTGGTGCAACCCGTGCGACCTTCACCAATCACTAATGCCAATCAACACCTCAAGACTTCGAACAACGGCGGTTTTCTAGCTCAATAGGGTCCAAAACTTTTATTCAAGCTATCACCGTGTCTATTTTTCTTTCTTTTGTGTCGGCCGCCTCTAATGTTATCCGAGGAGGGGACTCGCACATGTAGCCCTAGGATCGGCTGATACAACGAACTACAATCAACTGACTATGGATGGTTTAGAGCTGGGAGTCTCTATTATGAAAGTGAAAAATTGATTTTGGGGGCGTCAAGCTCCTAGGGTAATTACACTGAATTCCATGGATATTGTTGTTTGGGGGGCATCAATAGGCGTATAACACGATACAATGATCCTACCTGACTCTGCGTTCACAATCCACATCGAGGAACGAACAGGCAAAAAGCAAAATACATACAACAGCCGGGATTCGCTGGTCGTCACCGACCCAGCTACTAATCGGCCCCTCACTAGCTTAACGCTCGGAGAGCAGACGGGATCCAGTGCTTCCTAGTAGGTATGGTCGTATGTGAAAGAGTGCGTGGTTATTTTCTCATTTACGGCCTATCGACTTGGTCCAGGGTGGCGGCGACTAATGGGAGGTTAGTGGCGATGTTAATCTGCAAGTGTGGACATGGGCTTGCATCTCTGCCCTCGATGACTGTGGTTTCCCTGCTTCACGGCAGATTCCTCTACCCAGGCACCCAATTCTCATGTAATTTTCCCCCCCTCCGAGATTTATGGAGTTTCTTTTCCATCTAGAATTCCATACCCGCGGCCAAAGCATGCTTAAACAATCAAATAGATTAGAGCCGTAGGTCGGAGATAGGGCACCGCCATCGTATATCGCTCTTCCTAGACATAAGACAAGACATTAGTATCTAGATTTGTTTTGAATATGATTTCCGCTGGCCTGAGTTCTCATGGCCACTTCTGGATGCCTAGCAGCAGACAGATTAGCGGACGATGGTCAAAACGCCCGGAAGAGGGACAGAGCTGTGCGGCAACTCAGCGACTCATCTACAGATGTAGCTTGTGCAGCTCCATGGGGTATTTATGCATAGAAAACCAGACTCGTAGTATGTCCAAGTGTCAAGACCAAGGTGCCTGGGGTAGGGCAGATGTGTTTGGTGGGACAGGTAGCGTGGGTGTGTAGAAGCAAACAGTTACAGAGTGCCGCTAATCCTCGACTCAGACCTCATGTGTATACAGCATAAACAAGACAAATAAAACTAGATAATAGAGCACAAACGTGGATCCTTCGGCATTGAGAGCGGGGAAATGCGTCGATGAAGTTTAGCACCATGACGAGCGAAAAGGGGCGCAGATGTGCCGCCGGCATAACTCTATATAGATCGTCTAGCTCGTCGAGCGAATAGAGTACCCTCCTAAAAACGGTTTAGCTTCAAGTTCCCGCCAAATAGGAGTCCAGTGTAGCGACGAGTCAACTGGCCAAATATCCCTCTTTAACAGCGTCTCATACAATTACCTCTTGTTTGTGCTTTAAGGGGCGCATAGTACATTTGCCTACTGGGCTCACATGCCTCCTAAACATTGTGGTACTTACCTTCAATGTTAGCTCCCGGCCCCTGATAGTTGCCAGGTTCTTCTTTCGGATCAAACCAACTGGCTATGGCCAAAACATGTGCCTTCTTAGCTCTGGTAAGTCAGGTTTGCCAGGGCGGCTATTAAGGACCTATGCTCTCGATATTGACAGGAAAAAGTAGCTGCACGTGTGTGTTGAAATTTGATTTTTCTTTTGATCGTATTGGAGGCAGTCTACGACGAATCTTTCTCCTTCTACCAGCTCAGGCGGGGAAATACTTCGTTGGGCGAGGTTGCACTGCTCGTTGCTGGTACTCGGGATAAACGAGTTCTTGACGACCTAGAAGAAAGTTCTGTTTCAGTTCGAGTGGACGGGCCGGTCTGCCGGGCAAATCAGAAGAACTCACACAGCCGTGTGTGTCGGTAAGCTCATACGTTCTGGTAGATCAGAAGCTAACAGCTCCGTTGACGACAAAGGAAAGCCGTATCGACAGATTCTTGCTGTAACGTCCATTTCATGTTCTATAGAGATCGGCTCGATAAAGGGGAATCGTGGGTGGAACGCGGCTTTGTTGTCTGGAAGGCAGAAGCATCACAGGCTTTTCGGCCAGGCGTCTACAAAGATGATTTCTGCTTCGGGAAACTCTGCTAGACAAGCCCGTCAAGTCTTACAGACCAGGCTCTATTATATTAGCCATGAACATGCCTGGCAGTGTGACTTATGTGAGCAGACACCCCATCGCTAATTCGCTTTTCGCGAGGTCTAATCGGGTGGACGTTTTCGTCGATGGGGGATGGTTCTTGGTTCTCCTGAGAGGCGAACAATCAGTTAATGGCAATGAAGCATATGCTCCAAGAAGCTGGGGCGGACAGGTTCGTATCGGATGAGTGGAAAATTGAGCCAGCATCTTAGTCTGGAAACACGTGCATTTCGCTGCGTCACGGTGAAGGTGCACCCAACTGGTCGCATTCAGTTTGTCGGGGGGGCTCTCTGGGACGTTGGCGAGGAACTCTGTCGGCTGTATGTATCGGCTGGTTTGAACTCGTGGACTCGTAGGAAATCGAGGCGGGATGGAGATGTGGAGTGAAGTCGATTGTGGCCTAGTGCGGCTCGGGGATGCCATTAATATCGAAGACTGCCGTTACGGGCTGACGATAAAACTAGCTAAATCGAACACGTCGACGAGAATTTTTCTGCGAGTGATTCTTGATCCGTGAAAGGAGGCTTGCGAGGACAGACTTGTGTGGATCTGATGATGGACGGGGATGGCCTGTGGCCTGGTCAAGGAACAGCTAGGCTGCACCTTGTTCTGAAGGGTACCTACCTCGCCTAAGGCCTTGTTAGGTGGTGTGTTTAGCGGCTTGAGCGGTTTAGTACCGTACATAGGAGAAAGCACGTGCTGTAGATGGATGCACGTGGATGGGCCCCTTCCGCTTCGCTGGTACTTACAGCAGTTCAGTAGTCCACATCGACGGTGAGATTGTTAATCCCAAACAATAGATACCCGATTTTAGGTAATCGCGGTCCTATGGACGCTACAGGTACCTAGTGAGGTAAAAGGGGTGGTTGCTGTTAACGAGACTGTGACGACCAAGTAGAACAATGTGTGCGTCACTCAGTCTCCTGGAGTTACCAGCAACCTTGCTTTCCAGCTACTCAGTAAAGAAAAAACATGATCTACTGCATTTAGCCTGCTTAGTTATGGCTGTTGATATGGGATGTCCAGCTAGCAATAAACAGACAAGCAGGGCGTTATCAAAGGCCCAATCTTCGTGAAGACGGGATACCAAAAGTATCAATAATGAAGTGAGATTCTGATATTCTAATATACCCGAACTTCAAATCTAAGTCCTAGGTTGCGCCTCACCTAGCAAGCCAGATAATCCTATGTCCTTCCTCGGGAGACTTCAACTACGACAGCAACCATGTATGATACACCCCATTGATCTCGAAAACTCCCCACCAAGTGTAAAGGAGAATCCATTTCCCCAGGGGAGAAATGGCCTCGGGGTTCGCCTATAACTTTTCTAGGCGTTCTTTTCATTAACAAGAACATATCTGAACCGCGGCCTGCCTGCCTTCAAGTCGAGGATGGCTTGGTTGGCGTCCTTGAGCGGCCGTAACTCTATCCACGGCTTTACGCTCTTCTTAACCGCCAAATCGAGCATCTCTCTGATGTCTCCAGGTGATCCAATTGGACTTCCTCCGAGCTTGATCTCGTTAGAAAGGAGGGTGAAGACATTGATTGGAGGGAGGGCGCCACCATCAGGTGCACTGTGATCGGTCAGCGTTAGGCTAAATACTTCGACTCCCAGTCCGCAAAGCTTACCCGACTTGAATTAAACTGCCCTTCGTCTTGAGAAGTTTCAGGTATCCATTCATCGGCATCTTTTCGCTTGACACCGTGGATATGATGATATCAAACCTCCGCCTATGTGTCTCTTCCCAGTTCGACTCGTCATCGGTCGCGATATACTCGTCGGCGCCGAGCGCGAGAACCTCCTTCCGCTTCGACTCTTTCCTTGAGATACCCGCGACCCTGTCTGCGCCCAGAGCTTTGGCAAACAGGATACCAAAGTGTCCTAGACCACCAACACCGGCTATAGCCACTGACTTACCAGGGCCACATCCGTTCATTTTCAATGGTCGGTAAACGGTGACGCCCCCGCAGAGCATTGGTGCGGCATGTTCGGATGCCAGTTGGTCAGGGATTTTGACTACAAAGTGGCCATTCGTCCGGTTGTAGTTTGAATAGCCCCCGTAGGATATACCCATGTCGTTGGGGTATCTAGCGGCATATGTATTAACCTAGCGCCAGCGAGTTAGTCTTGCTCTTATTATCAAAGTCTTACTACTCCCGTCGTCAAAGAAAGTCAAAGGGTGAGCCTACGTTAACATTGCTGCAGGTCATCTCCTCTCCAGCAGAGCAGGCAGGGCAATCGGGCTGCAAACAGCTGAGGGACTGAGCGCCGACGCCGACGCGGTCGCCAAGAGCGATGTTCTTCACGTTGCTCCCTACACGGACGGCCTTGCCAACAATTTCGTGACCAACACAACAGGCTAAAATGCCAGGATTAGCAAACACATATCTCCATGGTAGCAAACCAGTTTTACGGGTATGT